AGTTAGGTCGAACTAAGCTGGCTAAGAAAGAAATCCCACCTCATAAAACAGGCCCCTTTATACCACGAGTAAAGTACACAGAACAGAATTACAACTAAACAATGTTTGTGGCAACAAAAGACGACACTATTTTAATGGCATTATAATGGAAATAATGCACATCATGTGACAAATATACCACCAAAAAGATCAAACCTGAGTGTCAGAATTGCAATATTGTACATTATACTGGTACATTGCTCAGCACTACAGTACTCACTTCTAAATGCAAAGCAGAAGGGATGGTGTAAGAATTTCCTGAAACAGACTGAAATGTACCATTTGTAAAGTCCTTTCAATGCAGGAAAATCAACAAAATTCAGCACAAAAAAACAGGTTTAAGATGACGCTGGAACAAAAGACACAGACTTGTTTTAAAAGTTATAGACCGACAGGTGATTATCTTATTTTGCTAATAAAGAAGTGCTAACTTTATCAACTGGTTTCTGGGAGGTTTGCTTACTGTAAGTGACAAACTGAGGTAGCTGCTGTGTAGTAAAACAAATTGAGGTATTTAATTATTGTTTACATTATTATTTTAAACTAGACGTCAAGCTCAGAAATTTGAATCTGAAAATGTGCAAGATAAATGATTCTAAATTCAGTATATCCTGAGATATTCAGTGCAGGCAGAGTTGGGCAGAGTGTCCTAAACTTATACTCAAATAAAACTGTTGTTACTTTGGTGAAATAATACCCCAAGTTAGCGTGAAATGAAAAAAATAAAAAATAAAACAATAAAGTACAAAAGCAGGTAAATAAATCTGTAATGAGTAACTCACAGAACTGCAGCAGAACTTGTTAGCAAATCCAGCTTCTATCAATATAAGAAGTGGAGTCTGTAGGGCTGGTTCTTCTCTTTTAAGGATCTTTTTGGTCTGAAATAGACCTCGGGAGTCATGTGGATCTGTGACCAATCCCGAAATAGTCCAGGAACTGTCACTACTGTAACACAAAAAAAGAATTCAATGTTAACAACTACACTGTAACTAAGTAAAAACATGATCTGTTTCCTCGCAAAGGTTTGGGCACCCCTGGTCAGTTGCTGTGAATAGCTAAGCGAGTAAAAGATGATCTGATTTCCAAAAGGCACAAAGTTAAAGATGACAAATTGCTTTAATGTTTTAAGCAAGGTTACTTTTTTGTCCATCTTTTACAATTTCAAAATAACAACAAAGGAAAAGGGGCCCGAAGCAAAAGTTTGGGCACCCTGTTAGGACCGTACTTAGTAACACAAGGCAAGGACCTCACAAATCCATTCTTCCTTCTACCAGTGAAATGTTCCCTGTGTCACTGGCTGCAACGCAAACCCAAAGCATGACCGATCCAGCCCTGTGCTTTGGAGTTGAAGAAGTGCTATTTTCATTCAATTCTGCACCCTTTTTCCTCCAAACATGCCTTTGCTCATTGCGGCACAAAGCTCTATTTTAACTTCATCAGACCACAGGACTTTTTTCCCCAATGCATCAGGCTTGTTTAGGTGCTCCTTTGAAAACTTTTGACACTGGATTTTGCGGTGAGGATGCAGGAAAGCACCGTAGAACAGTGCACCGCCACTCCAGGATCTACTAAAGCTTTTTTCTATTTTTTTTGCATTCAAACAGCAGGTTTGATTTGTCTTTCTAGCAATCCTACAAGCAGTCCTCTCTGAAAGTTTTCTTGGTCTCACAGACCTCAACTTGACCTCCTATTAACTGCCATCTCTTAATTACATTATAAACTGAGGTAAGGCTACCTGAGTCCGCTTTGCTGTCTTCTTATAGTCTTCTTTTACTAACCTTGCAGATATCAATTATTTTCATATTCAGAGTGCTAGGCAGCTGCTTAGCCCATGGCTGCTGATTGCTAGGACAAGGTTTGACGAATCAGAGTATTTATAAAACTTTAAAATTTGCACCACTTGGCCTTTCCTAACAATGAAGGCCATGAAGAAGCCACAGCTCTAACAAGCAAAGACCTTGGCAAAAGTCATGTGAGAGCTCAAATCTCTTGGTGTGCCCAAACTTTTGCATGGTGCTCTTTTTCCTTTTTGACTCCAAAATTGCACATAAAAAAAAAAAAAACGCTAATCTTGCTTAAAATGTTGAGAATACCGTTTCTTTAACTTTAACCTAATACCTTTTGGAGATCAGTTCATCTTCTACTCACTTAGCTACTCACAGTAATATGTTTTCTGCTTCAGTCTCTGAATGAACACAGAAACCAAATCCAGTATAAAGAACCCGAGTGGTTCTTTACAATGGCACCATGAGTAAGAGGACAGAGGCTCCACTGTAGGGACTCTATTGTACATTTTACGAAAGAATGTATTACAGAAAACAGTATTATTTAAGAAAAGTGAGATATTAACTCTGTTATTCAGTCGTAACATTAGTAATAACAGTAAGAGTTAGCTTCAACACGTCCCTTACATTTAGGCTCGCGGGTTGCTGAATCTCCTGCTGTTCAGCATCTGATTTTGTGTCGAGCGTCGACAGCAAGTACCACGTCCTTAACTGTAAATGATTAGGTTTAGCTTTCATATGATAACTGAGGCAGATTAGCGTTAGCAGTCATTAGTTAGCTAACACAGTTAAACGGCGTTCAGGAAGCAACACGTCAACAATTCACTGCTAGCGTGCTCTGCGAATGATACTTCCAGTAGAACAGAGACCGCCATCAAATCCTTCCACTGTCTCTGTTATCTGTGTGACACTGGAGCTACATGCTCAAAATCAGATACGCAAACCTAATCACATGCTAACAAATGAGCACTACGCCCGCGACGAACGCAGCTAGCCGGTTCGTTCAAATTAGCCTGCTAGCTAACCAACATTACGATTCATGTACACTGGCTACCGAGCGAATCGGTCAGCCGGGCTGCTCTCATCTCTGTTTTAACTAGAAAAAAAGATATAACGTTATTATCACAAAATGATCTTACCACTGTATTAAACGGTCACGTCACGGAAACTTCGACATTATCAGTAATCCGCTTTCTCAGACTGAGGGTTTGTCTCCGAGCAGACTTCGCTGCTTTCACTCCCTCAGAGCGCTTTTTGATTTGACCCGCATCAATAGCAGCGCTGCAGCGACTCGGCTCGCTCGTGAATGAATCGATTCTTTCCAACCGATTCTTTGCAACAAATCGGTTAAAGCAAATGAATCGAACGATTTGGTCGAATTTGGTCGAATCAGTCCATGTATAGACTGATTTCCCCTACGGAGCCCTGATGATGACATCCTGTATAAATAAAAATAATGCGTGGCCACGCCTTATTAACACGCCTTACTAAGTCATGGCCACGCATTAGGATCTCATTCCCACACCTTACTAAGTCGTGGCCATGCATTATTTTTATTTATACAGGATGTCACCAGCGGGGCTCTGCAGCAAACTATAGTGAGGGAACGCAAAAATAAAATTGAATTTTTTTTCCACAGTGGCTCTAGGGTTTCTGTAACATTACAATGAGGGACGGGCATATACATTTACAATTCTGTGTAAAAATAAAAATATACAATAATAATAATAATAATAATAATAATAATAATTTCCTAACAGCCAAAAAGTACAAATCACTATTTTTTTCAGCAGAAAAGTATTAAATATATTTATCAGAAAACACACAGAAGCCTCAACGACTAAATATTACATAGTTCAGTATTTAGCGTGTTCACTCTTAGTCTTTATTACAGCTTCCGCTCTTTGGGGACCCCTTTTTTCAAAGAAATCTTTAGGAATATTTTTTCCACACCTACAAAGTTCAGCCTTACAAGTTGTTTTTCTTCTTCTCACAATCTCAGTAATTCCAAACACACTGGGTGATGTTGAGATCTGGACTCAGCAGTGGTCAGTGTATTGTTCAAATAACACCAGCAGCTTCTTTGTTTGATTTATAACTGTCCTTTTTTATTTGTATTCTCAGTAAGGTCTTCTTGACAGCTACACATCCTTTCAGACCCACAGCGCTGAGTTGTCTTCTCATAGTGGAAGGATGGACAGAAACACCTGTGGATTTTTTCAGATCTGAAGTACGAGTGGAGCTTGATTTCCTCCTCTCTCTCAAAGATGACAGCTGTAAATGCTGTTTATCTGATGGTGTCAGTTTTGGTGGTCTAGCAGGTTTTGCATGGTTGTAACACGTTCAGTTTTCTCTACAGAAATACCTGTTTTTTCAGTTATTGTTTTTGGCTTTTCCCTCCTCAGTCAAGCGGAGTATGTCCACAAATTATGTGAGGGATGTGTATATATACATATATGTGTGTGTGTGTGTATATATATATATATATATATATATATATATATATATATATGCATACATATTATTTGCTCAATATTATGTATATTTTCCTGAAGAGCACTGTATGTCAACAAAAGTAATATACTATATAAGTATAATGGCCATTTAGAACAACAGTGAATCGAACATTCAATTCATTTAAAGTTTGCAAGAATCAGTTTGACAGTTGCAATGGGGGCATGGTTTCCATATAGCCCCGCCCCTAGGCAGGGACTAGTTAAACTGAAATTAGTCACAGCATCAGACTTTTTTTGTACTTCAACCTGAAATCAAAATGGAATATTTTCCACTGATAATTTATCATAGTTCATATAGTTTAGCTGATCATACAAAGCATGATTCACCATACTATATGATTTACAAGACAAACTGTTTTCCCATAATCTTCATTTGAAATATAATACCTTTCATGCGCCTCTAAAACATTCTGAATATACATCAACTGTACTCCAGCAGGCAGCAAAATAATATCAACCAATAAGATCATGTTTATCATGTTTTACCTCCATCTTGACCCCCTCATTGAGAGAAAACACTCAGCTAGCTAAGAGCCCCCCCTGACCCTGTGTACAGAAGGAAAATGAGTCTCTGATTCACTTTGACTCTAATGTAGTCTAAAAGCTTCTGTTCAGAGCTAAACACTCATATTTACGTGAATGAAAAAATGACCACTAAGCCTTTCGTTTTCAATTTTATTTAAAATGCTACCATAGATGCAATCTTTTCTAAAGAACAAAAGCCTTAAGAAAGTAAAGATGGAGACAAATATTTATTCTTGCAGGTCAGCTCCTGGTCAACATCCTCTCAGAAGCGCTTCTGGGCTTTCTCCTCCTTGAGAAAACAAAGATATTCAAACAATGTCGAGTTCAGCTCAGCCCATTTCAGAGATGGTGAAAACGTACCGGTGAGAAAAGTGAAATGCCTCGCAGCCTTCAAGGGGAATTCCACCTATTTTCCAAAATTTCCATCTAATTCAACTGTTATGAGTTAGATGAAATTATTCTGAGTGGTTTGGCCTAAAACCTATTTTTCAAATTTAACACTCATTTACCATAATCAATATTACACATAAAACCTCAAGAAGGCATGTGTAGGTTCACTGGATGTTCTCAATAACAAATAAAATGGCTGTATTTGCATTGTAGTACATTGCCACCCCTGGTTCCCATCAAGATCACTGTACAGTAATCCTAAAATGCACCATTTCACATCCACCCATTCCAATTGATATTGTTTACATCTCAGCAACTGAACTATGCAGAAATTTTGAAAAATAGGTGGAATTCCCCTTTTATTGTGCATTCTATACTGTTTTGTGATGGCCAAACATATGTGCAACCCTGAGATTTTAAAGCCTTTACCTTTATAGCTTTCCCCAGCTCATCCAGTGCTTCTTCGTACTGGCTCTCCATGCCTTTGAGATGCTCTGGTTTAATAGTCTGTTTCTGTAGACCAGCACTGCCAGCATTCAGCACCATTTGCACAAAGTTTTTCACCTACACACAGAGGAAAAGATGAAGAAAAAACATATATAATACCAAACTCTGAGTGGGTATGTGGCCATTAGCTTGGCACTAACATAACATACATAAATGAATTGAATGCACACACTATTTACAACACAAATCAACTAAAACACTTCAATAAAACAGCTGAATCTGGGGGGAAAACTCTGATCGTGCTATGAAGACATGAAGTTACTTGGTGATGAAAAGTCATCCGAATAAACAGTAACTTTTGATTCATGGACAATTTTGGCAAGTCTCACCTGCACTCCTAAGAGGAAAGTGAAGGCCACTCCAGCTTTTCCTGCTCTTGCTGTTCTTCCCACTCTGAAACAATGATTATATATCAATTAAACAGGTCTGAAACACCTAGAGGAACAATTGTCTTAGGTTTTATTATAGTTCTCTAAGATACTTTAAAATCAGCTCTTCAGATTTCTCTGTAAGAGCTAACTGTTCACATATGTGAGTAACCTTAACACATAGAATACTTAGCCATCTACTTTAAGTTCTGGATATCCAGCTAAAATGTGGTGTTTGACTCAGATAGTAAATAAGCCAGCAGACGTGCCTGTGGATGTACGTCCTGATGTACTGTGGGGCATCATAATTAATGACACATTTAACTCCTTTTATGTCGATCCCTCTGGCAGCAGCATCAGTGCTGATCAACCTAGCAAAGAGAGAGCATTCATATATATTACAGATGTTTATAGAAATCTAAGAAAACTGATCAGGGTTGGAATTGTGTAGATTTTTTTTTCATAAGAATTACTAGACAGAGGTTTCACACTTTGTGCCAAAAAGCATCCAAAAGTTACAAACCAGTGCTTTTAACAAAGGTGCAAATGCTGGTGCCAACATTCGTTTACATGCACTCAGTAATCCGAACACAATCGGATTTCTGCAGTTATCTGATTATTTAAATGGTCGTGTAAACAGCATACTTCGATTTCTTAGACACGAGTAAGGTCTAGAAATCCAATAAAGAGAGCTGGATTTTAGCTCAGTAATCAGATTTTTCACTGCACATAAACTCTTACTCTGATTTCTTTAAGATTTCTCAGGCTGTGCATGTTTAAAAACAGACTGCGGTACCGGAAACAAGCAAGCAGCGCTGCCGCGAGACGCAACACTTTTGTAGTGACACTGAAACCAAACACAGGCTTGACGAAATGAAGGATTTACATTTTCTTCATCTTCTAGATGATGTATGTTGATATATTCAGGTAAAATGGCGCAATGTTTAAAGAAAAAAAAACTGCATTTGACGTGAGTTTTACATTAAATTTACATCACATCTTCTGGTGAGTTTATTGGCTGGTTGCAAAGCAGAAGTCTGATAACTGTCTGACTCACGTAGACCCAGAGCTTCCCATTATCTGATTACTCAAGTGCACGTAAACGCATTGATTCGATTACTGACAAAATCAGATTTTCTGCAGTTGTCGGATTATTAAGTGACTCAGTGACTCCCAGCACTGCTGAACTCCTCTTCTTGCTGCAGCCTGCCAATCACTATTGCACCATTATTGCATTAAATTAAACATAGAATGAGACAACAAAAAGCCATAGCAGATAACACATAGTTCAAATTTACACAGAGAAAGAGAGTAAAGTCAGCTAAACAGATGAGTATTAATGGTTTGTTTACAGCCTAGTCTTTTTTACTTTGTATCTTTTAGTTAGAACTCTTAAGACCCCCCAAGTCCCCTCTTAACAAGAACCCTGAAACAGATGAGTGAAACTCAGGTCCTGGAGGGCCACAGCAGTGTTAACTCAGCTCACCAAGAGCTCAGTTATTGCTCATGTACTGAATCATTAGGTGTGTTAAATCAAGGTAAATACAGAGCTCTGAGAGGCTGTGGTCTTCTAGGACTGGAGTCTGACTCAACTAGACTCGTCTAGATACTGATTAAAATTTGAAAAAATGAGGAAGTGTGTTACACCTGAAACAAACAGTTGTCACATTTCCATCCAGCTGTAAAATAAAACTGAAGTGAATGATTAAAGTGTTGCAAAATAGTTATGCATTACATCCTGTTTCCATCAGCTCTGTACAAGAGAATACAACTCTACGTCACATTTGTCGAAACACTTCTGAAAAATCTGGAGCTAGCTTACAGCAAAACCTTTAATGTTGAGCAGCTTCTCTTTGCTGTTGTTTTGGGTAATTTAGTGTTTATATTTTACAAACCAAGTTCCAAAAAGTTCAGATAGTATGTAAAACGTGAAAATCCAATTTAAAAATGTAAATCAGCTTTAAACTGTATTTAAACGGAGGCAGTACAAATTTTGAAATGAATGCCTGCAACAAGTTCCAAAAAAGTTGGGAGAAGAGCAAATTAAGACTTGGAAAGGTTGTTAAATGTTCAGGAAACATTTTAAAAGAGGTGATGTAATCATACTTGGGTTTAAAAGGACTATCATATGGAAAAGCCTAGTCCTTTCTGAGCAAGGATGGTTCGAGGCTCGGCGCTTTGCTAAAAATGCATCAGCAAATAATCCAACTCTTTAAGAACAAGCATTTGAAAGGCTTTTAGATTTTTTCCCTGTAAATATTATCAAAAGATTCAGGGAATTCGGAAAAATCTCTGCGCATAAAAAGCAAGGTCAAAAACCACAAGTGAGTGCCTGTGAACTTTGACCCCTCGGGCAGCACTGCATTGAAAAAAACAGCATGCTTCTTTAATTAATGACACCACATGGGCTCAGAAAACTTCACTGTGAATAAATAATGTATGTGCTGCATCCGCAAATGCAAATTAAGACTGTTCTATGCACAGTGGAAGCCATAAGTTAATAACTTACAGAAATGCTGCTGACTTCTCTGGGCTTCAGCTCATCTGAAATGGACTGATGCCCAGTGGAAACGTGTATTGTGGACTGAGGAGTCCACATTTCAGACTGAAATAATGTACACGCACAATTCCATAAAATATGTATGTGTTCATGTTCTCTGGGCCAAAGAAGTAGGGGGCCTCCAACGTAACTTTACCAATGTAAAGTTCAAAAGTCAGGGTCTGTCATGGTATGGGGTGTACAGGGTGATTCAAAAAGTGACAAACAGTGAGTAGAAAAGCATAATTGTGCAACGTGATTTTCATCGGCAGTGAACCTCCAACGCTCTGTTCGTTGCTGGTTCCACGACACTAGATGATCTCCGAAATCGCACTGAAAGAGCCGTGAGTACAGCAACACCCAACATGCTCCATTGAGTATGGGATGAATTTGATTATGGCGTTGATGTTGTCCGTACAGCTGGAGGAGGTTCATATTGAGCTCTTGTAAAATTATATAATAAACTTTGTGCTCACTTAAACCATTTACAATGTACAAGTGAAATAAATCATTTTGACATTGGATGAATCTCTTTGAATCACCCTGTATTGGTGCCCATGGCCTAAGTAGCTTGCACATGTGTGAAAGCACCTTTAACAATGAAAGATATGTACGCATTTTCGAACAACATATCGCTGTTGTCGGAAGAAAACCTCGTATCTCCATTTTTGATGTTTTTTAGTTTTTGACATAATTGGAAAATACCTGTTGCCCTTTATGTTGTATGTAAATTTCATTGAGAATGGACCCAAAATAAATGACCCAAATGACTTGGAAGAATGTCTGGTTCCATTGACTTACATTAAAAGTAAAGTAAGCTTTCTTTGAAAAACTTAAAAAAAGTTTGAGGTTTTCTTCCGACAACAGCGATATGCTGTCTTTTAGGCGATGCCTTTTTCCAGGGACATCCATGCTTTTGATAATGCCAAGCCACATTCTTCATGTGTTGAACGGCTGTGTAATCAGAGAGTGTGGGTGCTGGGCTGATCTGCCTGACTCCTACTGAAAAAATGTGGCGCATTATGAAGTGCAAAACACAACCCTGTGCGGTTGCTCAGCTGAAGACTTGTACAACTGAAGAATTTTAAAACATTTTGCTTTCAAAACTAGATCAATGAGTCAACTGTACCAAAGAGCTGTTAAAAGAAAAGGTGAAGTAACACAGTTATAAACATGCTAGTGTCCCAACCTTTTTTGGAACGTGTTGCAGGCATCATATTCAAAAACAAGTATCCACCTTAAGCAAGCATAGAAGTTTTATGCAGATTTTGGTTTACAAACCTTTTCAATTCAGTATACCAAACCATGCAGTGTCACAAATATACATGGATGTAAACCCAGCTTGTCTCTTCACTACAGAGATGAGAGCATACGTACAATGCGATCTTTCCTTGTTCAAATCTTTTCAAGGTTTTCTGTCTCTCATTAGGACTGAGTCTGGAGGAAAATTCTGCCACTTCAACTCCTCCATAGAGCTTCACCAGCAAGAAGAGCCTGAGTGAGGAAATAAGAAAGAGAGAGAGAGAGAGAGAGAGAGAGAGAGAGAGAGAGAGAACATACATGTAATTCACTGCGTAACTACCATGAGTAATTACAATTTTATTATATGATTATATTTGAATAAAAATAGCATTTTTATAATTTGATATTATTTCTCAAACCAATAAATAAACCTTTTATTTAAAAATATACATATAGTACAGTGCAAACCTCTTAAGGGCACCTAAACCATTTATCTTGGCAAACAGTGTGTTTTTGCTTGCAAAACACCATAAATAATTAGAATTGATGCAAATAAACATAAATACAGTAAAGGGTAACAAAATTTCTTTTCTTTTAAAGACTTTTTTTTGTAAACTAGTTTACAGAACAGAGTTTGGCTTCAGATTTGTCCGTGACACCTTCAGCCATCACATAGATTTGTTAAAATCCATCACCAGCACTGTTGATTTAACATTATGAAGTATTTATTACACAAACCAAATACTAGATAACAACAACAACAAATAATGCAGGCTTTGTACAGAAGATGGAAATACTGGAAATATGTATTTCCCTTGCTGTTTTTTTTTAATAAAAGAGCTTCCTACAGTATGTAAACACTGTTAAAGTTTCGAAACATACCACACAATTACATACATTCACCTATTCCTGTTTAATTCTGAGGGTTGAAAAAATTAACAAACAAATATTTTAAATGGATCTCAAGGGGGGAAAATATGAAAGAATTATGGGCCCTTTAACCCTTTCCAGAATTTATTACACAATTCTTTAACCTAAGTATAGTTTGACCTGTTTTCATAGAACTCCATGTAGTTACTGAATAGTAATCCTCAGTATGTTATAAGCCTGGGATTTTGAAGGGTTAAACAAACACACTAATATATGTAAAACTACTATTTTGCTGCTGTTGAAGCAAAACCTTGTACCTCCATTTTTGTCATTTTTCAGTTTTTATCATAATTTGAAAATGTCTGTTGCTCTTTACATTGTGTGCAAATTTCATGATGAATGGTCCAAAAGATACAACCCAAAAATTACTTGGAAAAAAATTCTGGTTCCAGGTTTTTTCCTTCTCCTGTAAAGTTACAATTTACGAGGTTTTGTTAAGACAGCAGCAAGTTGCTGTGCTGATCTTATTTGTATTTATTCTAATACTAGTGGGTTTTTTTTCAGAGCAAATTAATCTTACTGCCCAGAGTAATCTCTGTGAAAAAAGAGAAGAAATTCTTTCAAAACTGTTCTAAACTCTTAGTGGATTCCATGTTTATGCTCATGAGTAGGAGATAAAATTTATGATTTGACTTTGATAAAAAGCTACTGTGTGCACAGTCTGGTTTTGTGGAAAAGACAAAACATCCTACATTTATAAATCAAACAGTGACACTTCTTGACATACAAACAAATGAAAAAAAGAAGTGCACACTCAAACCTGTTGAAAGAGAACATAAATCTAAATATAATTATACACTTATCCATCTTAATGTTGTCATGTAAGTAATTACATAATTACAAGTAAATTGTACAGAAAAAATATATTACTAACTTTACAATTTCTAATAGTTGACAAAAATGAATAACACTTCTGGGTATTAATAAGAATAAACAATTGATGAAGAGCTGTAAACTGTGTTACCTGTGTGCTGCTTCTCTTGAGTTCATGAAACATAAGGCAGGGCTGAACTTCAGCTGGAGCAGGAAGTGGAGAAGGAGGAGAGGCTTCTTACTCAGCGTGCAGCAAACGTAGTACTCCTGCAGTGGGCAGAACAATATTTGAGCTAGGCCTAGATTATAAAAGATTTAAATACAAAAAATCATCAGAAAAATGTTTTGTTGTTGTTGTTGTTGTTGTTGTTCTTTTATTATTTTTTTATATAAATAAAGCACATTTGAGGTATTTTAAATTGAATATATTTACGCCATTCTGTTCCACAATCACTATTAGCAGCTGTGCTCATTTGTGAGCGAACACTGTTTCAGTACATTAGGCGGTGATGCACCTTAAACTCGCTGGACAAGGGAAAGAAGAAGTCAAGCCATTCAGTCACAACAGAACACCAGCAGGACAGTTTTTTGCTTCCTCAAATCAGATGTAATTGGTTCTTGATGCTCACCGTCAGGCCCTGGGGGAAGTTGAATTTCTCCTCTGTGTGTGTGCCGTCCTGCGTGGAGGTGTGTGTGGAGCTGAAGAGACGCGGCTGGTGGAGCCCCAGCTGCTGCAATTTCTCTGGGTTCTGCGTCAGAGTGGCCGAGAAGAGCAGCTTCTGCAGCGGCATCTGGGGTGGAGACAGACTGAGAGAGACAAACAGACTTTAAAGCCATAGTTCAGTGAAAAAACTACTGTAATTTATTAGCTATGAGGCTAAAATAGCTATTAAATAATTGAAGCTTATGTACACCAGTGAGCGGTATACAAACTGCAGGGCTAAATCAGAACACATTTGTCTCATTTTACAGAAAACAGTATATAATAGAGTCTTTAAAAAGATGGTTCTTTAGTAAAGGGCAATGAGTTCTATATAGAACCGTTTCATGCTTAAATGGTTCTTTGCGTGGTGAAGTGGTTCTTCAGACTGATGGAAAATGTGTTGTATATGGTTGTATATAGAAACTTTTTGAAAATGGTTCTATGTAGCACCAAAAAGTGTTCTGCTATTGTTTAATGTCAAGCTTGTAACAATAAAGAACACTTTTGGTGTTAAAAAGGTTCTATTCAGAACCATTTACAACAATTTCTCCATCAATCTGAAGCACAATGCAAAGAACCATTTAAGCGAGCAAATGGTTATAATGCTATACAGAACTTTACTTAAGAACACTTGATAACCCGTCTTTTTTAGGGGTGTACCATTTCAGAAACCATATAAGCAATTTTGGTTGAGATCACTTAAAACTCCACACAGCTGGAGGCAAGTATGTGATGACTTAGGCATGCAGATAGCACAATGTTAAGCCACATTAGCCTCGTAGCTCCAATACATAACTAAAGAATCAAAATTCAAACAGCACATACGTCTTGGCTGACTGACTACACTTGGGGTAAGAGGGAAAACTGTGTGATATAAAATTGTCCTTTTTTCTGCAAATTTGCATTAAAGTTCAAATTAGAGTTAGTACGGTAAAGAAGGAAGGAAAAAAGATCTGCATTACATAATTAGTTGATAAAAAAAAAATCTGAGACCAAAACGCATATTCTTCATAATTTTCATATTTCATAAGCTACATTCAAAAGGTGGGTGTCATATGAGAGCTGTAACTGTCTTCTTTCCAGTCAAACAGATGGGTAATGTAATTTTAAACCCTTATAATAGAAGCTGAACTCAAAAATGTTTTTGTCTACTGAAAGTCAACCCATTTTTCCACAAATCTGGGCTATAAACTATAAACAGATGGCGTCTCTTCAGTGATCTGCTCTGTAAAAATTATTTTCATAGAAAAATACAAAGAGCCTCTAAGATTTTTGGCTTTCAGCAGTAAATTGTAAGCATACAGCAATATGTGTATAATCATAAAACAGACGTTCTGTTAATTTGAGGGGAGTTTTTACAATAAATAATATAATTAAATAAATAAATAAAGATTTACATTAATTTTATGCAGTTACTGAATAATTTGCCTTACGATTTGGTCATATAAATTCAGGTGGAAAAACCAAAATATACCCTGGAGAATATACAGTGTTATTGAATGGGAATAAGGTAAAGACCATCCACACAGGACAGAAACAGTTTTCAGTGGGATTAAAACCTGAATTGTGTACTTGATTTTCTTTAGAGTGAGAAACTGCACCATGTCTCATATCTAATGGCCAAAGGAGGAGAAATGCAGCTCTCAGTGTTCAAGTGAAGCACTTTGCTAAAAGAGTATTTGTTATGAATGTATTTTTCTTCTTCTTATTTTATTATTATTATTATTTCTCATATTCAAACAGAATTATCCCAGGAGTCAAGATACTCTTATTTCCTCACAGAATACTTCTGCCATTCTCACTAAATAAGGTCATACCTTGCCACTGTTATTGGGCCTGGCTTCACCCTCCTGAAGATTGATATATCTGAGCCACTCCCACTTTTATAGACTGCTTTGGTGACCTGACTGAGCCAGGCCTGGTGCATGCTGTCGATCATTCGGTCTGCCTCATCAATGATCTAAAACATCAAACACACAGAAAATACGTCTATGTTAGGTACGTTCCTAATAGATCAAACTTAATATAGGTCTTTTCTGGGATTAAAGACTGAAGTCAGCAATATTCATCCATGCTACGTCATCCTGCATGTCTTGAAAGTCTCTGTATCTCCCAGTAGCCTTATAAAGATGATACTACTAATAAGCATCATATGTTTAATTAATATGTACAATGGCGGTGGACATTCTGTGACCCTTCTGTAAATGTCCGCATGCATTTGACCTAAAATGTGATCAGACATTTATTTAGTATTAAAATAGAACCTATGAAACAAAACACACAACTAAATACCTTTACATTCACTTACTGAATAAACTGATTCAGTGTTAATGTTGATGTTTGGGTATAAGAACACTTAGGAATATCAGTTCATAATTACAAATAAGAAGCCACTACTCCCCAGGAAGAACACTGATGCCCATTCAAGGGTTGCTAAAAACCACTGGGATTGGCCAGAAGATTACTAGGAGAATATTATGTGGGCAAATAAGTAAAAAATACAACTATTCAGATAAAATGACAAACATTACGTTTAGCAAAAACCAAACACTGCATTCCAGCATGAGAAACTCATCCTAACTGTGAAACATGATGGTGGCAGTATTACAGTTTGGAGCTCTTTCATTGCCAGGGGACCAGGACAGCTTGATTGGGAGATGAATTCTAAAAATTCAGCAAATTTTACAAGAGAATATCAAGTCATCTGTTCATTAACTGAAGCTCAATAGACTGTGGGTCTTGCAGAAAGACAAGGACTCTAAGAGATACCACCAGTAAGTCGTCAAAAAAGCAGCTGAAGGAGAAAAATGTTCACATTATGGAATTGCTGAGTCAAAGTACAGGTCTTTAGCCAAAAGAAACATTGCGCCAGGACCTGAAGTGTGGAGTCCATGCAAGTATCACTGAGTTGAGGCAGATTTGTGAAGAAAAAAATAAAAAATTCCTCCAAGCTGATGTGGAGATCAACAGCTACAGGAAGTGTTTGGTTGAAGTCACTGCTGCTCATGTTACCAGTTACTTAAAGCAGAGTTACACATTCTTTCGTTGGACATATTTTTGTAGAAATTTAGAAAACTCTGAAGGGTTTACAAACTTTCTAAGACCACTGCAGCTTGATAGATCCTTACCAGGAATCGTAGATGTTGGAGGCTAAAGTTGTCATTTTTGTTAATGTGGTCCACCAGACGACCTGGTGTGGCAACAACAATATCTGCCAGACTGCGACACACGCCTCCTCTGGATAGAGAGGGAACACAGAGATTGTACAGGTCAGCCACACAAGAGTAAAGAAAAGCTTTAGGGTTATAAAAATGCACAATACATCGATCTGAAGGTGCCAATCCAACTACATTGATTTGGGACTGTTAGAATTGATTGAATAACTAAATATGAAGGAAAACTAATTATTATAATGCTAACATTCATTCATAATGAGTATTGTTCTTTTGTAAAGTGTTACTTCAACTATACAGAAACAAAACTGGAATCTACAGCAGCTTACCTGGTTTCTGAAAGGGCTGCCTGTTCTGCAGCGAAAGGTTTCTGCCCTGCGACCATGACCACTTTTAGACCAGTTCCTTCAGCGTAGGAGTAAAAAACCTTGCATACCTGTAGAGGAGAAATATACTGACAATGGACACAATGTAGCAGGATGAGGCCTAAGAGGCGGGCCATGAGATAAACTCAGAAATTTGTGTAAGAGATGAAGGGAACCTGCTGGGCAAGCTCTTTCGTAGGTAACACGGCCAGGGCACGAACTTCACACACCACTCGGGTCAACAGCGCCTGTAGGAATGATCATAATGGAGAGTAAATGGCAGTAATTACCAAAAAAGTGGTGCAGTAATAACTGTGGCTGACATGTGGCTTTGCTGAAACAAAACCTTGTAGCTCCATTTTTGTCTTTTTTTTTTTACTAAACTGCCATGTTATGAAAATTTCTCAATGAATGGACTAATTGAGTGCTCTAAAGTTACAACCAGTTGCAAGTTCAGAATATTTTTTTTCCTGAAAGGTTTGGGGTTATAAGGTTTTGTAATGACAGCAACTGTATGGTACATATAGAGCTGACCACTCTTGATTTATTTGATCTTCATTTTCATTTAGTACTGTAAATGGTATTTGGACCTGATAAACAAAGGGTGTAGACAGAATGTAGGGGTTGTTTTTTTGTTTTGTTTTTTTTTTACTTAAGTTAACGCCAAAAGAAATGCCCCAGAGGTACCTGGGGCCTAATATTATTACATTAACTTACAGTTAAGAATATTTTTTCCTTATCCTGAAAAATGACTGTTTTGGTCAAATTAAATGTTTTGTTGATTTTCTAAATGAAAATAAGTCCTCTATGAACTTAAATATGGCATTTTCCTGCAAACTGTACAGCTCAATTTGACAACAATCTTGTTACATTAACTTTTCCTACAAGTCAAGAATGTTTTTTATTTCCTCTCAAATTACAGTTTTGGAGATGAATTTGATTACTGTGTGAATATAAAAGTGCTGCATTTCATAAAGTTAGAATTTCTGGAACCGTTTTTATATTTAAATTTTAATGGTCTGAATTTTTTTATCACATGAATTATCAAGAGGTGAATTCATACCCAGTATATTCAAACATCTGATATTTTCAAGATCATCAAACTATACAGGTACCGGTGATACTGATTTAACTCCATACATGAGGTTTTGTTCCAAAAGCCATCTATCTATCTAGATAGATAGATACATCTATAGATAGATAGATACATCTATAGACAGATAGATACATACATAGATACATAAATTGATTATATCCAGTTGTGACTAAACTAAATCTAAACTAAACTCTGGAGTATCTCACCTGTATGACAGGTATAACAAATGCCAGTGTCTTTCCACTTCCGGTGGGAGCAGACACACAGATGTCTCTGGGCCTGTAGCCACCTCGACCAATCAGCAGCCCTGAATTCACAGTTTCCAAGATGGCAGGAATAACCTCTGCTTGAACTAAATAAGGTAAAAATAGTGAGGAGCTACAAAGTGAAGAAATCATTCTGACCCAAACAGTCAGAGAACAATGGTCTTTCAACAGATGGTTGTGGCACATCTTGATGTAAAGATCCTCAGGAAGATTACCAACATAAATGAAATAGATGTTTCACTCAAGCCATAAATCATTTCATATAAATCAGTCTGCAGTCAGGATCATCTGGACGTTAACAAAGTTATTGCAGTTTTATATGTCTGCCAGATTTGTTACAAGATAAAAAATATCTAGAGTTGATTTTTAAATTCTGTAAAGGTCTAAAGCCTGCCTCTCTCTCTCTCTCTCTCTCTCTCTCTCACCTGGGAAAAAGTTTTGGATCCCATTGGCTTCCAGCTTCTTCTGTAGCGTAAAACAGATGCCGGGAACTTCACTGAGAGGGACCAGATTACTCTTAATATCTCTCTCAATAGCATCCGGCTCAGCCAGCCACTTCGGTAATACCCTCTGGACCTAAAATGTGCCAAAACAATGCAAAGCACCACATCTGTAACATATTACACAGACTGTTTGGAGAGGCATACAGCAATACTGTATAGCAGTGATCTCCAACCCTGATCCTGGAGAGCTACTTTCCTACAAAGTTTAGTTCCAACCTGCCCCTCCCCTTACCTGAGCACTGATCCAGCCAAGCAGGAACCTCTGAAAAAGTTAATAAGCTGGAGCAGGTGTGGCAGATTTTGGTCTGAACAAGACACTGCAAGAAGGCAGCTCCCCAAGACAAGTTTGGAGAACACGGTCACATTAGTTATTAATGTTTTATTTTTTTTTACAGATACCTTTTGTACTGTCTTATTCTCAAATCCACCCAGGACGTGAAAGCTGGTGTCGGAGGAGCTCTTTCCTGATCCTGTGTTTGACGGGTCAGGGTGACCGTTGGCAGTTTTTTGGGTTCCCTCAGGTTCCCCTCCATCATCTTCAGTCTCCTGCACTGCTACAGTAGATTCTTCAGATGGATGATCTTCTGAAATACAGTAAACAAGGGTAATGTTTACATTATTAAACATTAAGTCCTGCAAGAATGTAAAGGAAGACAGTAAAGTGACACTCAGACAAAGGTTTAACTATCACTACATTTGTTGTAAACAAGCTTTCTTGCATCCTACAGTGGTGTCTGTAGTGAGATTTTCCTGTTCAAAGACTAGGAAAACCCATTCTGATGATGTATCTTGAAGGTGGAAAAACATTTTGAGAAACAACAACTAACTTGGGGTGCTAATGTTACTTTTGATAAATGCAGAAGGAACGCAGACAGGCAACATTACAGCTAGGAAGCTGAGTAGCTTATCACAGCCGAATAACTACAGTAACCATCATCAAATCATAACTACCATCAAGATGATGGATTACTCAAATGACTCATCAAAGAAGGAGGACAACAAGCTAAAAGCTAAACAAGGCAGATGTCTGTCTGGATACTTTCCTTCAGTCTGGCTTCTTTTCTCTCTCTGAAAGGGTAAAAAACTTTTCTCAGGAATTAATTTTATGCTCAATAAATTCAGAATTGCTGCAGTCTTGATTTTGTCTGAAGACAAGTGGGGTAACAGTGATGTGAGCTTGGCTGTATTTATTAGCTGATAGATCAGTGGCTTGGCTCACACGCAGGATTGGACAACACCACAGGGATTCCCAATTGTTGAATGATGTATTAGCATGCTCAGAATGCATGCTGGGTATTGTAGTAAGAGAAAATTAATGGACGAAAATATAAAAATGATATAAAATCATGATTTTTCTCAAACCGATGAGACGAAGTGATATAATGTTCCACTACAGAACCCTGCATGACCCAACAAAAAACATATAAAATTTAGGTTTTAGGCCAGAATGGCCTGAAACCTCACATGCGCACATTCAAACAATATAAGAAAATTACTTGTATCTTGCTCCTCTTCTTTCTTTTTGTCTTTTTTCTTCTTCTTCTTTGTTGCAGTATCCTTTGTGCCTGACTCGGAGTGTTCCACAGGGACGGCTGTGTTATCAGCATCATCCAGCTTCTCAGAGCTTTCCTTCCTCTTCTTCTTGTGCTGCTTCCTCTCTTTTTCTTCTTGTTCTAATTTTCTTTTATTTTTTCCTAAGTCGCTCTGACCAGAGCTAGTGTCTTTGACAGTTACCTCTTCTTTAGCTGCAAGACTCTGCTGTTCTCTCGCTTTTGCTTGTTCCTGGAGCTTGGCCAGCCGGGCTTTGGATCGAGACTCGCTGGCTGACTCACTTTCATCTTCATCTCCCAGATACCTGAGGAACCATAACAGCAGTGTAGTGCGTGAGGATGATCAGGGTTAGCAGTCCTAGTCACTGCAGACCACATGGCCTTTGAAAAACATAAAACTTGTGTAATGTATTAGTCATCAAGGACAGGAACTGAGAACCGCTGAGAAAGATGTTCACTAAACTTCTGACTACTGAAAATGTTGCAGCTCTGAGGACCAAAAGTTGTGCAACATGAAGAAATACTCAATTTTTTCAACTGTGGATGCTCAGTGTTTCTTAATCCAGCTGCTGGCAACGCACAGTGAGGTATGCAGTGGAGATTATGTTACAGGTTTTAAGTGCCACATCCATACTGCACATGCATCATCCTTGTGAGTGTGGAACTTTCAACTATGTTCACATAAACACTATTAAGATACCAGCAACGTTACACTTGAGGAGAGTTTTGATAGATCTCTGTGCCCACATTGTTAAAAAATGTTCTTTTACTCGTTCTGTAGAAAGGAAATGTATATGGAACCATGAACATTCAAAGAACGATCTGAATGCATAGATAATGTTTTTTCCTTTATGATGGAGAGATTTTAAAAAAGGGTCTCAAAAAAGGGTAGGAATGTTTGATGATATCAAAATCTTACTGGTAAACATCATGCTACACCATGTAGGATTTGGGGATTTGGAGACCTCTCTGGCAGAAATGTGTAATTGCACACTCCTTCCAAAAGAACATTTTGTATGTAGGCTGTGTTTTGGACCCCTTCTCTCAAGCAGATGAATCTGATGATTGTGACCATTTTGAAAGAAAATTCAAAAAGAATTCCATCAAAACTTGGTGAATGATGTGTCTTACGAGGATGTGAGCGAATGATCTACTATTGTCATCATATCTTCATCCGTACAATAGGCTGTAAAGGTAAATGTGTTGGTTTTTGTGACATGACAAAAATAATGAATTCAAAACAGGCTGTTTTTTGCAGCTTAGTTTCCATATATAAAAGGTATGGATGGAGAGAATGGTAGGTTTTGAAACTTCAACAACATTTACATACTATATTAAACTCTCTCACCTAAAAAATAAAAGTCAGTAAAATTTCCTTTTCTATGATGGGACCCTTTAAAATTTTAAAATTGTATTGTTGTTTTTATTATTTATTATTTCTGATTTATTATGGGGCGGCATGGTGTCGCAGTGGGCAGCGCTGTCACCTCACAGCAAAAAGGGCCTGGGTTCGATTCCTGGCCGGGCAACCAGGGTCCTTTCTGTGTGGAGCTTGCATGTTCTCCCCGTGTCTGCATGGGTTTCCTCCCACAGTCCAAAGACATGCAGTCAGGCTGACTGGACACGCTAAATTGACCCTAGGTGTTAGTGAGTGTGTGAACGTATATATATGTCTGTCTGTCTGTCTGCCCTGTGATGGACTGGCGACCTGTCGAGGGTGTATCCTGCCTTCCACTCGGATACGCTCTAACTCCCCCCGCGACCCAGAAGGATAAGTGGTTTAAAAAATGTGTGTGTGAGTGTGTGTGATTTATTATTGCTATTGTTATGTTAATTATTGCTGCAATTCCTCTCATGAAATAATAATTTCAATTACTTCAAAAAATACCAAATAACACTGGAATTAAAGAAAGCTGGGTAATTTCCCATAATGTGGAGAGGAACAAATGAAGCTTGAAGATTCAGCAACTTACGGTGCCTTAGATTTGATTGAAAAAAAACAGAATTCTTATGTATTTTAAAATGAATTTATGGCCGATAGGTAGATAGATAGATAGATAGATAGATAGATAGATAGACGATAGATATATAGATAGATAGATAGACAGACAGATAGATAGACAGATAGATAGACAGATAGATAGACAGACAGACAGATAGATAAATAGATAGATAGATACTTTATTGATGCCGAAGGGCATTTAGCAGCCAGTAGCAGTCTCACAACACAGGACAGTTATAATAGTAAGGGTGAAACAATATAAAAGGAAGAATAAATATAAAAAATCCTATCTACAGGCATATATACAACTAGAAACATACAAAAATCTGGAATAATATCTATAGCCTGAGATGAAAAAGGCAGTGCAATAATGACTGTACAAGGAGGCACAGGTAACAGCATATAATGACAATACTGCATAAACGTGCATATATTTGTACTAAAAATAAAGTGTCTGGGTGTGGAGTGTCCAGATGTGCAAGATCTGTTAGCTAGATTTTAGGTCTGTTATTACTCTACAGGCAAGTTTACAACACCACAAAAAGGGTAATACCTGTCCCTCCTATGGGGCAATTGTAACAAACGGGCGCCTTTATTTACACACTCTTTTTGGAACCATGAACTATGATCATAACATTAAACTCACCTCCTTGGTTCTGCACTAATTGTCCATTTTATCAGCTCCACTTACCTTAAAGGAGCACTTTGTAGTTCTACAGTTACAGACTGTAGTCCATCTGTTTCTCTGCATACTTTGTTAACCCCCTTTTACCCTGTTCTTCAATGGTCAGGACCCCCACAGGACCCCCACAGAGCAGGTACTATTTGGGTGGTGGATCATTCTCAGCACTGCAGTGACCCTGATGTGGTGGTGGCATTAGTGGATGAGCCATAACAGTGCTGATGGAGTTTCTTAAATACCTCAGTGTTACTGGTGGACTGAGAATAGTCAACCAACCAAACATATCCAGTCAGCAGCGTCCTGACCCCACTGATGAAGGACTAGAAGATTATCATCACAAACTGTGCTGCAACAGATGAGCTACTGTCTCTGACTTTACATCTATAAGGTAGATCAATAAGGTAAGTGTGTCTAACAGAGTGGACAGTGAGTAAACGCGGTGCTTAAAAACTCCAGCAGCTCTGCTGTGTCTGATCCACTCCTACCAGCACAACACACACTAACACGCCACCACCACGTCAGTGTCACTGCAGTGCTGGGAATGATCCACCACCCAAATAACACCTGCTCTGTGGTGGTCCTGTGGGGAGTCCTGACCACTGAAGAACAGGGTAAAAGGGGGCTAACAAAGTATGCAGAGAAACAGATGGACTACAGTCTGTAACTGTAGAACTACAAAGTGCTCCTATATGGTAAGTGGAACTGATAAAATGGAGAATGGAGGTGATTTTAACGTTGTGGCTGTACAAGTTTTGACTCTGCTTTTGCACATTTTGCATCAGAATTCCTCAGAGCTACTGTAGCTGTAGATTCAGAAGAAAACGAGAGTAAACAAGAAGATCACATACCGATTGATCGTGAACAGAGCCATCGCAGAAAGCCCGGTCCACTCCGAGGGCAGAACAAACAGGACTTTTCACTGCCCTGTTCACAGAGCATGGACTCCCGCAGGAGCGAATAAGATCGTACAGGAAGGGCGGCTGAATTCGTGCTGATTAGATGTGAAAGAAGTCCTGAAATCTACTGGTGGATCAGACTGAACTCAGCCATGTGAGCGCTGCGTTGTTGACAGTCGCGTAGTGATGACACGGAGCGAACAGTGATGACATCACCATGAAACCGGGCTCATTCATGCTGTGCCCGAATCTGAGGGTAGTTGTCTCGATGCCTTGCCGGCCTGTGTTGTCTAATAACCCTGTGCCTCTGAAGGCAGCGCTGCCCCCTGCGGAGCCCATAAGGGACCGCGCTAATGTTTTGCATTACGAAGCAACGGTTTGCTGCGCTTTGCTTAGGCTCGGACACGAAGCGGCTCACTGAATTTTACGATCTTGGATTGAAATATACAGAGCCCCGCTGGTGACATCCTGTATAAATAAAAATAATGCGTGGCCACGCCTTACTAAGTCGTGCCCACGCATTAGGATCTCGTTCCCACGTGTTAATAAGGCGTGGCCACGCATTATTTTTATTTATACAGGATGTCACCAGCGAGGCTCCGTAGGGGGGGATGCATATACATGCAAAACATTTGCGAGGGAACACATTTTTTTGCGAGGGAACGCAATGTCATTAACTTTTTTTTTTAACCACGGCCCCTTAGGGGCTCCGTAGTCCCCTGAGTCAGTGCTGCTGTTTTCTGCTGTTTTAACCAACCGTATCGGTGCGGAAACAGAGGATTGTGGGATATGTAGGCAGCGACGCATACATCTAACGGAGGAGCCTCAGACAGCGTTTTATACACACATTTGGATACGATGGCCGCCTTCCTGCCTCAGATGTTTTTTGAGCGAAACATAGTGCTCAACATCATATGCATACAAAAAAATACATATATCAGTGTACACGAATAAACATACATGCTTTAACAGTTCTAATGACGTTTTGTTTTGTTCCATTCAACGGCAACAAAAATAGGCCCTTTGCCTGAGAATTTACGAATATAAAACTTTGCCATTAAAAGTATAAGATTTATCATACATACGTGTGTGTTTATCTCTATGATTTTCCAAAAGACCAAACAAAACGTTTCCACAATAAACAATACTTTACATCAATATTATGAACAATAAAAGCTCTGAGGTTTAGTCATTTTTTACGTATGTCAATGCCAGAAGTGAATGGCTGTCTCTGGATGTTCCTGCCTCAGAATACTGAGTAGGCAGCGTTGATTACGTTTCAGACCAATAGAGTGGAGATCTGGGCGATGAGCCGCTGGGGGGCGCCGTAGAGTCGCTCCATTGCTTAAAGCTCTGGAAGCTCTTTGACATCTTTTTATAGCCTTGTCCTGTTTTGCTCTTCAGGCGTCATTTCAGTTCAGTTTCAGATCCTCAGACAGCTGCTCAGAGGAGAAGCTGTTCGTTGAGTGAAAGATTTGGAGTGTCAGTGAATTTATTTCCCTCTTGAACTGTCATCAGCTGATAAGTTACCTTACCATTCTTGACCTGCCTGACCCGTTCTACAGAGTGAATTAACGCCTGGAGAGTTATTTAGAGTTATTGAGAGGGGAACTCCTCCAATTTTTAAAAAATTTCACATAATGAAATGGTTAAGATGTAAACAAAGCCATTCAGAGTGGTTTGGTGTGAAATGCTTCGTTCTAGAGAAACTGACCGAGTCAGAATTGTTCACAGAGGTGGCGATAGGAACCAGACGTCCACCTAAAAGCTCCCTCACTGAGCGTTATTACATGAAATGGTTATGATGTCTGAGATAGTGTTTTACAATAGTTTTGTGATAAAGGTTTGGCGTATTTTGATCCATTTACTTTCAGATATTCATGGTGGAAAGACATATTTGGTATTCTAAGGCAAAATTGGTTCCAAAGAAAACTCTTAGATTTACCACTATTTTACCATCATCAATGTTACATATACAAACTCAGAAGACACATGTAGGTTCACTGGTGGTTTTGGACAGTAAATAAAATGGCTGTGTTGTAGGCATCAGGCCTCCTGGTTCCCATCACCACCACTGTAAAAAAAATCTGACAGAAGGTTTCTCTACAATGAACTATTTCACATCAGACCAGTCTGAATTATGCAGACAATGAAAATCGGTGGAATTCCCCTTTAAGGTCTAAGGCATTACAACTGAAAGCATGCCCAAACTTTTACACATGCAGCAATTACTTTTTTAAAAATATTTTCAAGTTGATTCAATGTAAAGTAATATGTGTTAACATTTGGTCACTGTCCACAAATTTCGCTTTTTACATTATTTGAGCACAACAGCAGCCCTTTACACTGTGTAAAATGTCCATTTGCTGCCCTTTACACTGTGTAAAATGTTGCATGCTACCTGACAGCTCATGCCCTATACTATGGTGTGAAATACAGTCCAAGACCCCCTAATTAACCTCTTGGACCCCCTAAATATCTCAAAATCAAATTTCTGGGGGCTCCCTGAAAACCACAAACTGATACAGCGCTGCTCTGCGGCTCTGCAGCAAATCGGTGTGCTCAGTTGGTTCTTCATAGCCTGGCAACTGTAACTACACCTCTAAAAAACTTTACAATATGCCACAGCATATTTGTAAACTTGCCCCATTTTCCAAGAGATTGATGGAAATAGTGAACTGTTACTCATTTCTCAAGTTGAAGACAAAAGGCAAGATGTGCAAAATCTCAGTTAATGTGTGGCAGAACGCTTTACCAAACTAGAAAAGAGCATTCCCGAAAGAAGAATCAGTAAACCCACACATTTTGATATTAAAGCTAGCATCAGTGCTGACGAGTGAGTTAGCAGACAGCCAACACTGGACTAGCCAGCCAACATGGGACGCCCTGAATACCAGTGGGTATTTAGCACACTGCTCTTTACTAAAGGTATGTCTTATCAGTGTAGTATAGCTCATTTGATTGGCCTGTTTCGTTTCATTTTCTTCTCTTCAAATTTGATTACATACTTTGTAGTGAGTGCACAAACACCGTTGTAAACAGGGACGCTGCTATTTTACGAACATTATATCATGGATGTAACAGTCAGTATCAAATAAAATATCGCTGGAGCTGAACACCAACATGGTGGAGCGTCAACATCACGGTAAACTGCTACAGACCATATATCCCCCAGCACTGCTGTGTATACTGTCTGAAAATCAGCATCTGGCTTTTTATGACTGAGTTTTTTATGACTGAGTTTTATTTTTATGACTGAGTTTCTATTTCTCCCATTATATCAGAAACATGACGGCAAAACGCCAGAGGGCGCCCACAAGCGAGTCCTCAGTGAAAGGGGGTGAATAAAGCTAAAATGCTAAAAACAAACAGTTAAAATAATCATTTGCCCAGAGCTTTGCTTTCATTTTAGAAAGTAGAAGGGTGTATTTCACTAGAAAGGCAAAGAAAACTGACCTGTATGTTTCCTTTTTTCTACAGCAAACGGGTTTTGGGCAGCAGGACGCTAACATTATTGGTAATGAGTGCTGATTGGTTGGTGAGCGGAGCAGCTCATTGGCTGTTCGCTCTCACTGACGTCATTGACGTACATGAGGCGGCGTTTTAAACTCCTATAACTCGAGTTTAAAAGCTCTTAAAAATATAACAGCAGTGTTAAAATATTTTATGCTGCTGTGTTCAGGAAATGAATGCATCCTTTTACATTAAAAATGTTTAAGTGTTTATAAAGTATGATTTTGCCCAAACGCTCCATCTTAACCCATTCATTCTGGACTCGCTCGCTGGAGCGCCCTCTAGCGTTTATCAAACCCGGAGGACATCAGAGTGGCAGCTCTGATCTTTACACGTTCTCTGGATTCATCATCGTTATCTAACACTCTAAAGTGGGGGTTCCCAGTTGTAGTGCTCAGTCTTGTCCAGACGGGGGCGCAGATGTGCGCAAAACTTTGACAGAAACTTTTCTCTGCTCGTCCTTGGAGCGCAGAATGTCAGGGGGACTTTTTACCCACGACCACCAGTCTGTAAAGTCGGCGGGACCGTTCCTGAAATCATGCTGAGTGTCCTGGCAAGAGCGGCGGTGAGTCTGAATGATGGTCAGCTCTGAGGGGAAGAGTAAAGCGTTAAATCGGCGTGTTGTGCTCTGTCCGCTCCGCCCTGACCTCGCCTGGGCGAGCAGACACAGGAGGTGATCTGCTGCGGGGCGAGTGTTTTTACTGGAATGCACTTCAACACGTTTAGTCTGTGTGTTTCCTGACGTTTATCAGCGCTTTATAGTTTACATTCGTGATCTGATCGATGTGGCGTGAGTGGCTTAAATGCGGCTACCTTTTCTGACAGCTGCGCGTGAGCAGCGATACTTTAATGATCAAAGGGGTGAAAAGCGTGAAAAGCGCGCTGTGTGTTTACAGTGCGAAGGAGGGCAGACTGACTGAAGCTGTTAATGACCTTTTAAAAGAGCTCAGCTCGCTAAAGCTGACTCGAGCAGAGTGACCGGGCAGTCTCAGGCTGATCTCACATTACAAACAGAGGGGCGTGAGGGTCGCAGTTTGGCACAGAGACTCAAAACAAAACATGGACCTGCTGGTTCTCCCCCACTGAAAGATACGTCTATGATGGTTAAAAAGGGTAAACGCTTTGGGTTCCCTCACAATGATTTTGCGTTCCCTCCGGAAAATTTCCCGTTCCTTCGCAATATTTTTTTGTTCCCTCACAACGATTTTGTGTTCCCATGCTGTAATTTTGTGATTTTGCATTCCCTTGTAATGATTTTATGTTCCCTCGTAATGATTTTGTTCTCTTGCAATGATTTTGTGTTCCCTCACAGTGGTTTTTCATTCTCTCTCAATGATTTTGCGCTCTTTCGCAATGATTTTGCGGCTCCTTACAAATACAAGGGATTTGGCAAGGGATCGCAAAATATTTGCAAGGGATGTTGCATTTTTTTTTTCGCAAGAGGCTCAAGATAACACTCCAAGAGTTAGCCTGCTAGAATTTCAATATGCAGAGGCGCCTAAAACTACACTTAAAAAGCCCATATCATGGAAAGCCCACGTTTCCTTGCCTTTTGGGTCACTCATTCCACTGGTGCAGTGGTGGTTGATGTGTGATTCATATTAAAGCATTCTCTGTTATGTTGAACATATAAAAACACCAGTAACATCATAACACCACTGACAAAATCACTCAAATCTGAGCTTTTCTAAAATCTAGTGCACTGCCAACTTTAGTTTCAATGTCACGTTTTATGTAAAACATTATAAATATTGCATTCATGTTATTTTATTTCAGTTTTAAAATGTTTATGAGTAACACCACTGAATCAGTCTTCTTGTGTCACACAGAGCTGTCAGTGTTTTAACCACATTTATCAGAAACAAGGGAAGAGAGTCCACTCATGTGGATTACTTAATCTTTCCTTCTTTGAAAATCCTTTGATATCCAAATTTCCTGTGTTTTTTTTAACTACATTTTATATTTCTGTAATACCGCTAACAGAAAATCTTGGGACAATATTTATTACTAAAATAGTTTACACATAGGACGGACAATAATTTCAAATCATTAAAATTGTTCATAATACGTAAGAATCTGTGAAGTGCCTGCTGTGTTATACTGTTTTTCATGCACAACATGACTAAAATCACTCAACTACATTCTAAAAGAAGAATTGTAATAGGTTTTTTTGTTGCTTAATTAAGAATACAATAGAAAATGCACAGACATCCACTTTCTGTGGTTTATTCTTATTTTGAGCTCATTTTCATGGCTTCAGTATTGTGGGAGACCATTTGCCACCGCAGTGGTAGAGTGACCCACATACATCTACCTATTCAGCCTAGAGCAGTTTAGCCCCGCCCACTCACACTGAAGTTATAAGGAGTGTTTCATTCCAAGAAGAGCCAGTTAAAATAAATATCTACATATCGCTGTTGTCGGAAGAAAACCTTGTATCTCCAAAATGGTAATTTTACATGAAAAGGAAAAACAGCTACTTTAGTTTTAATGTAAGTCAATGGAAACAGACTTTTTTCCAAGTCATTTTGCGCTGTTTCAATTGGTCCATTCTTCATGAAATTTACATACAGTGTAAAGAGCCACAGGCATTTTCAAATTATGTCAAAAACTGAAAAACGACAAAAATGGAGATACAAGGTTTTCTTCCGACAGCAGCGACATACAGTATCTGTATATACATGAACTATATATCCTAAAGGCACAGTAACATAAACAACCTGATTAATTCTAAAAAAGAAGTTAGGAACTTAATGTAAAGGACTAAAATGTAAATGAATAAAAAGTATGTTTTATTTCCTCACAGATATACTTGAGGGTAGGTAAGAGTAATATCATTTGGAACTAGGTTTTAGGACAGAATGCTTTACATAGATCTCCTGTCAGTCTGTTAGAGACACTCCCTTCATTCCACCACCATCTTAGTCCTTGCAAAGGGAACAAATGCAGTGATTAGTGTCTAGTTCCACCAGATACTGCTGCTGTAAGCAGGGCCCACTGAATTCTTCAAAAAATGCCATGAGAAGAAAAGACATAAAAACACTAAATATATCAAAAATGTAGTAAACGGTGCTTTCACAGACACAGTTATAGGACTGGTCAGATAAAGGATTGGGTTTGTATGAAGCACCTTTACAGTGTTAGCAAGCTGACTTGCTGAAAGTCAGATTGGCTAAAAATAAGCTGTAGCTGAAGAGACTAAATGTCAGAATATTACCCCTTTCACATGTACAGCTCTATCTCTTGGCTAGCATAGACTGTAGACAGAATGTACTGTAACATTGTGGGTTGTGAATTCGAAGCCCAGCTGCATGGAGGACCTCTGCTGGCCTCAAGTTGTAGGGGTCAAGCTTGTGTGAATTAAAAGTAAGTTTAATTCAACTACTTGGATGTAGCACTAGTCAAATAGTACATAGAAAGCATTGCAATGAGATAAAACATAAAACGTCTAAGCTCATTTTATTCTCTACTCATATAGACTTAATAAAATCATTTAGTAAATTTGTGTTTCATATCAGCTAAATAACTCCTCACAAACTTGCTGTTGGAAATATGATGTGATATATAGTGTAGCAGGTAACATTAACTATGAGGAAAAGAGATGTTTAACATTAGTTTATCACAAAGACATTGACTGCCGTTTTGAAGTAAACTTTAAGCTACATGTGATCTACTAAAGATTTTTGTGGGGTTAATTAAAGTACAGCACGGTAACAGTATCATTAATTTGCTAACTAGCTAGGCTGCCTAAAAGCCTGCCTACAATAAAATATGCCAGTAACTGTAAAATATGCCAGTGAAATAGTGAAATATGCCAGTAACTGAGTGAAATATGCATTTAACTGAGTGAAATATGCCAGTAACTGAGTGAAATATCCCAGTAACTGTGAAATATGCCAGTGGCTTAGTGAAATATGCCAGTAACTGAGTGAAATATGCCAGTAACTGAGTGAAATATGCCAGTGGCTTAGTGAAATATCCCAGTGGCTGAGTGAAATATGCCAGTAATTGAGTGAAATATGCCAGTAACTGAGTGAAATATGCCAGTGGCTGAGTGAAATATGCCAGTAACTGAGTGAAATATGCCAGTAATTGAGTGAAATATGCCAGTAACTGAGTGAAATATGCCAGTGGCTGAGTGAAATATGCCAGTAATTGAGTGAAATATGCCAGTAATTGAGTGAAATATGCCAGTAACTGAGTGAAATATGCCAGTGGCTGAGTGAAATATGCCAGTGGCTGAGTGAAATATGCCAGTAACTGAGTGAAATATGCTAGTAAGTGAGTGGAATATGTGGCTAAGTGAAATATGCTAGTACTCAGTGATATATGCCAGAGGCAGAATAAAATATGCCAGTAACTGAGCAAAATATGCCTGAATCTGAGCAAAAAATGCCAGTAACTGTGTGAAATATGCCAGTGGCTGATTTAAACTGTACATGGGCTTTGACTGACTTATTTTTGAGTGAAAATGATAAAATAGTCAAAAGAATTGGCTCTTAGACCACATGTAGGAAGAAAGTCTAGGAATGAAAGACAAGATAGCACATCCAGATCATTTATTCACTTTTTGGGAGTTTGTATGAATCCACACCATCAATATGTCCATTTTTGTCCATATATTGTTTGGCATCTCTATAAAGTTGCATACATCCCTTTTCACTTGAAAAAAACAAAAAAACAATAAAACAGTGATCTCTTTAAGCTCTCAGAGTGGGTGTATTTGTAGCAGGTAAAGAAAGAACAAACCCTGCCATTATGGTGGAACAATCCCACAGTGCAGTGTGATATGACACTGATTTCCAAGCCATGTTCTCCTTTAAATTCTTATGCATGTTAAATCCTAAGGCTTATTATTCAGAGACTAGAAAACATTGCAGAAATGTAAATTCTCTTTCCTGCCTTCCAGTCCAGGGTGGGCGTAGGGGTGCCCTCTCACCTGGTGAGGCCGGTGGTGGGACTTCAGCTGTCCATTCGCTCCATTGCACATCAGGAGGGTCTGCCCAAACTCCCTGTCCCGCCACTTAAACAGACGTGTGAGCGCTACCTGGCCATGCTGGAGCCGCTGGTCACTGAGGAGGAGCTGGAACACACGCGTGCTCTTGTGGCCGAATTCCTCCGGTGCGGTGGGGTGGGAGAGAGGCTGCAGAGGGGACTGGAGAGGAGAGCCCGCAAAACTGAGAACTGGGTGTGTACAGTCGCATGCACAATTGAGCATGACACTCAGACAGATTACTGTATCCTAACTTCTCTAATGCTGTGCAAATCCTTTGTTGCATGATGCAGCTCTCTGAGTGGTGGATGCAGTCGGCCTACCTGGACTCCCGTATGCCAGTTGCTGTGTACACTAGCCCTGGGGTGGTCTTACCCCCAATGCACTTTCAAGACCGCCAGGGACAAATGAGGTACACTCTGTAACGATGGACTATCAGACAACCCCAACTCTCGTATCCTTGGTTGTTGTAAGATGCTAGATGCATGATCTGAATGGGATACAATAGAGCAGAATATAGCAGAGTAAATAAATTAGGAGTATAACAATAGAATAGAGCAGAGTAGTATAACCTAGAACAGAATATGGTAGAGTAGAGCAGAATTACGTTAAAAGAATAGATTTGAAAATAATAGAACAGTGTGGAATTAAAGAGAACAATAGGACTGGGTCCACTTATCAATTCATTGTTAACGACTGGAATTTAATGCAAAATTTATTCGTTTTTTTCTTTCCATTTTGTATGTGTTAGTGATCTGTGTCTTAGTTATCCTGTCACATTCGTGCACAGCTACACAGTGAAAACACCATCAGAAACATTATTTTTATAATTCTAATTCTAATTACAAATTTTGAGTTAATTATAGTTTAAAGGAATGCTTTGGTGAAAAATCTCATTTGCACAGTTTTCCACAGACGTTGATGATCAGTTTGTCCAATTTTTGCTTCTTTAGTTTAGAACTGGAGCTGCGAGGCTAACATTGCTAACAAACACTAGAACTCAATAGTCACCCAAACAGCCCACAATGTTTCTGTAAAAATACATCACCAAAAACGTCTTTCAATCCACTCAAACTGCATCCAGCTCTTCATTAAGGTTGCACAGATTTGTAGATGCGGATTAGGACCCTGTGGACCCTTATGTTATTGCTAATTAACTACATCTGGGGTACCTGTATTATTCTTTTAATGTTTAGTCTTTTTCCACCAAGTCCATTTTTATGCATAAAAAAAAGCAAATGATTTTGAGTGCAATAAGGTTTTGCTCCAATATGCTTTTTTTCATTAAACATTGGAGGGAAAAACAAAGAAGACGTATCAACCATGACATAAAAAGTTACCCAATGTTTTTTTTTCTTTTAGCCAGTGGAATTCAAAACCACAGACACTGGGTAACAGCCCATTCTGCTAAATAAGTTAGTCACCAACTCACAGGAGCTTAAGTTCTGGAGTTCTGGAGTTCTGGAGTTCAGCTTCTGCTTCATCATTTTACTTTAGTTGTAACGGATGTTTAAACTTGTTTCGACATACTAATTTCTGCAAAATTCAAACCCTCTGTGAAAAAAATTTGGGTTTGTCACTCTAGATAGAGTTCTATAGAACTGAATAGAGGAGAACTGAACAGAATAGAATAGAGTAGATTATACAGAGTTCAATAGAATTGAACAGAATAGAGTAGATTAGATAGAGTGGAACAAAACTGAATAGAGGAGAACTGAACAGAATAGAACAGAGTAGATTAGATAGAGTCCAAAGAACTGAATAGAATTGAGCAGATTAGTTAAGAGTTTTATAGAATTGAATAGAATAGAGTAGATTAGAGTGGAACAGAACCGAATAGAGGTGAATGTAATAGCATAGAGCCGAATAGCACAGATTTATTTCCATACCTCTAATTTTCTAAATTAATCATGATTTATTGTTTCTTGAAAAGCATGAAGACGTTTAGTGCTCTCTACTATACTGCTGTTGTATGTTGATACAGAGATTATGGGGTTTAAGTTGCAGGCTGACCTTTATGCAGGCTTCTTCCATACCTATTGCTATTTTAAGCTTGGTTTGCTGCACATAGCAGCTTTTGCAGAATGATCCATGGTCAAGATCTGTGCCAACCACAGACAGCGTACTGACGAGTGCCACAAACCTCCTTTTCAACCATGTTCTCCGTCCAGACTTGCCCCAAATCTGTGTACATTGTCCCTTGGGGTGGTGTTGTTTACACACAGGAAGCTGTGTGCAGCAACTATGGGGGCCAAGGATTTTAACCCTCTTGGTCCCAGTGCTTTTTCCCTTATTGGTAAACAACATGCAGGTCAATTACAGGAGCTACATTGCGAACTTCATGGACTACAGTGTAAAGAAGTTTTTCTTAAAGGGAAATTCTGCATCATTGAGATTCATTCACAATGTAAAACTATAGAGAAACTTATGACTTTACAGTGGTTGTGATAAGAACCAGGTGTTGTAATGTCTACAACACAGATATAACCATTTTATTTACAACTCCATTTCCAAAAAAGTTGGGATACTGTGCAAATGCAATGATGTGCAGATCATTTAAACCCTATACTTCATTGAAAATAGTACAAAGACAACATATCAGATGTTGAAACTGGGAAATTTTATTGTTTATTGAAAAATATACGCCCATTTTGAATTTGATGCCAACAACACATTCCGAAAAAGTTGGGATGGGGGCAACAAAAGGCTGGTAAAGTTTTAAAGTTTAAAGTGTAATGCTAAACAAACACCTGGTGGTTGACTGGCAACAGGTCAGTGACATGATTGTTTATAAAAGTCTTTCAGGAGTAAAGATGAGGAGGGGTTCACCACTCTGTGAAAGACTGCACGATCAAATAGTGCAACAATTCAAGAATAACGTTTCTCAACATAAAATCACAAAGAACTTTTGCTTTTCAGAAGAGGTGATGAAACACAGTGGTAAACAGGCCCCCTCCCAACTTTTTTGGGGTGTACTATTCCAAACCCACACAGAGTTTTTATATGTAATGTTGATGATAGAAATCTGAAAAATAAGTTTTCTGCAAGCGAGATTTTAGAGGCATTAGGGCATCTGGTTCCAATCACCAACACTGTGAAATCTGACTTTCTCCAAAACAGAGCATTTCACAAAAAAACCACTCTGAAAGAATTTGTCTTAATGGTTAAATTATGCAACTTATGAGGCAAAAAATTTGAACATTTGGTGGAATTCCCTTTTACATTATAGAAGTTTTGTACTTTTTAAACTTTATACACAATTTAGGGGGGTTAGAACATTTAGGGGGTTAGAAACTAACAGTACGTTCCATCTGTACAGGTTTGCTGCCAAATTGATCGCTGGGGTTTTGGACTTCAAACAAATGATTGACAAGTGAGTCATATTTATATGTGTATCTGAATCACAGCAGCTGATTTTCTTTATTGCTGTCCGCTGACCAGCATAACCCCTGTTACAGTGAAACACTGCCTCTTGAGTACCTTGGAGGAAAGCCTTTATGTATGGACCAGTATTATCAGGTGCTGACATCATGTCGAATACCAGGACCCAAGAAAGACACTGTGGTGAACTACGGCACTGGAAAAATGCCTTCGACACACATCACTGTGGTTCATAACTTTCAGGTGAGCTCCATGAAAAAGGGCGATCTTGGTCCCACTGAATGAGACAATGCAAAGTATAATATGGTACAGTGAAGGTTGCTATATAATCAAACAATGCTAGATAATTACTATAAATAGGTGATTATTATACTGTACTATGCAAAAGTCAAATTTAATTTTCAGTCAAAACTGCCATTACATACAAGTTATTCATTTTCAGGACATATATAAGAGAATTCACTTGTATAAGGAAAGATAAAGTCAAAGGAAAAGTGAAAAAAAAAAAGTTTTTTTTTCCAAAACTGAAGTTTAAAAAATGATTAGATACAGAGAAAATGGGACTCCTAATAACTGTGCAAGTCCTGGTAGACCAACAAAACTATAACCATCAGATAAACAAGACTTTCATCTTTGAGAAAGAGGAGAAAATCAAGCTCCACTCTTACTTCAGATCTGAAAAAATCTGGATATGTAGTGGTCAAGAAGCCGTTGCTGAGGAGAGTAAAAAAAAAAAGAAAATCCTGCAAATAAAACAAAGAAGGTGCTTGTATTCTCAGAACAATGGACTGACCACCCCAGAGTCCAGACAGACCTCAACATCACTGAATGTGTGATGATAACTTGTACCGTGAGAAGCAGAAAATGCAACCAACTTCTAAGACTGAACTTTGCAGGTGTGGAAAAATAGCCCTGCAGATTTTTTTGAAAAACTGAAAACAAGTCTCCTGAAAGGAATGGAACCTGTAATTAAAGTAAAGAGTGGACCCCCATAAAAAAATTTTAAAAAATTGAAATTGTATTTAGTTGTTGAGGCTTCTGTGTCATTTTTCTGTTAAATATATCTTTTCTGCTAAAAAATGAATGACTTGTACTTAATTTGACATAATTATTAATACAAAAAGTGGTTCCACTTTTGAGCAGTACTGTAGCTTTTATATTGTGACAGTTCTGACAAATTGGAATTATTGGACTGATATAACCACTAACTGCTTAAACACAACTGTAACCATTGCTACTCCATGTTGTTGTTATGCATTTCCTGCATATCATTATGTTATACACCGATCAGCCATAACATTATGACCTCCTTGTTTCTACGCTCATTGTCCATTTTATCAGCTCCACTTACTATATAGGTGCACTTTGTAGTTCTACAATTACAGACTGTAGTCCATCTGTTTCTCTGCATACTTTGTTAGCCCCCTTTTACCCTGTTCTTCAATGGTCAGGACCCCATAGACCCTCACAGTGCAGGTACTATTTGGGTAGTGGATCATTCTCGGCACTGCAGTAACACTGACGTGGTGGTGGTGTGTAAGTGTGTGTTGCGCTGGTCTGAGTGGATCAGACACACCTGCTCTGTGAGGGTCCTGCTCTGTGAGGGTCCGTGGGGGTCCTTGTACAGGATCTTGTACAGTGCTAAAAACCACATAAGCAAATTTTCGCAATTTGAGGATGGATTTAAGCTTCTGTTATTTGTTAGCCACACAGCGGCAAAACTTAAGAAGCAAATGGCTTTTGCTGCAGGTCGTCATTATATTATAGCCGTTTCTCTGTTTTTCTCTCCAAGTTTTTTGTCCTGGATGTATACAACAGTGATGGCACCCCACTGACGGTGGACCAGATCTATGTGCAGCTGGAGAAGATCTGGAACTCTTCCTTACAGACCAATAAAGAGCCCATCGGCATCCTCACTTCCAACCACCGCAACACTTGGGGCAAGGCCTACAACAACCTTATCAAAGGTGATCTACCCCAGTACTACACAGCTGACACAGCTTGAGTTAGCGTTTAGGTGGAAGTGTTGATGAGACACTGTTGATGAATTGTCAAAAATCTATGTGTCTCTGAGCCCACATACATACACATATAGTCAAATGCAAAAATTTGAACATCCCTGGTCAAATTATATGTTTTGTTGATTTTTTTTTTATTTGAAAATAAGTGAACAGAAAATATAGTTAAATATGGCAGTTTTCTGCAAATTTCAGTGCACAGTTTCTGTTTTATTTTCTGAGTTGAACATATCAGAAAAAACATAGATTATAATGTGTGCCATAACTTTTTGACAGGTCATATTTAATGTTTTTTTCCCCCAATATGTTAAATTCAGCAAATAAACAGTATTCAAATTGCATTCAAATGTGCAGAAGTGTGTTCTCTGTAGAGAATGTATGTCCTATTGTCACTTAGAAAATCAACAAAGCATGTAATTTGGCCTGGGGTGCCTAAACGTTTGCATACAGTTGTAAGAGTGGGCAATATGACAGAAATATGTTAATATGACATAGGTATACAGAATATGTATTACAATAATTTGTTTCATAATAAGTTTGCGAATGAGCCGGAATAGACAAAATGCTGAAACTAAGCAAAAGTGACGCATTTAAAAAAATTACAAATATAAGGCAGATTCTGAACTTTCAATCTATACCGCTTCAGTTTTTATAAGTAAAAGATGAGATACTTTATTATTTGGTCAATTTATTGTTGTACATACTGTCTTACTGACTGTTTTAAATTTTTGGACATTAAAACAAACAGAATAATTTTGAAGCTTGAACTTGAAGCTGTTGGTGCAGAATGCAAATGAAATATTGACATCATTCTTTAAGCAACAAACTATGTAATAACTTGTAATGATGTAGTTATGTATCTACATGCAACAGTAGTAATGCTGCGTTCATGACAATTGGGAACTTGGAAATTTCCAACTTGGGAGTCTCCTACTTCCCATCTAAAAGCATCCATGCAGTTTCAGCTGTTAAAGGCCAGTTAAAAATAAATGGATGTGCACAGTAAGTTAGTGCTTGTTTGGCTGCTGTATGTGTATAAAAAGCTCTTAAAAAACATTTATAGTTGAATCAAACAGCTGTTTGGTTAGCGCTTCATTTATTTTAAAAGTGGCTGAAGGCGATGGCAGTTCACCATTAATATAGTGCCAAAAAGCATGCAGTTTGATTGGAAACCTTGTACGGTAGGACTTAACCCTACAGTTATCCCAGGACCCTCCTGTGTTTGTCAGCGTTATACACAAATAGCATATCGTACGCAACCAGACACTGAAAATTCTATATGCTACTACACCTTGTTCTATGGACACTGCCTGTATTGAATGACGTTGAAATGACAGCACGGATTAGAAAACTCAGACCTTTCAAAAAAAATTATGGATTTGAGGCACATTCAATTGGATTTTTACTTCTTTGATGTCTGAAACTTCACCAGTTCCCACTTAGTCATGATTACATCATAACTAATATTGCTTTTGCTGTATATTTCAAGACCATAGTGGTAGTCCTAGTGTGTGTGTGTGCGCGCTTGTGTATGTATTACAGACAAGACGAATAAAGAGTCGGTGCGGGCCATCCAGAAGAGCATCTTCTTAGTGTGTCTGGATGCCCCAATGCCACGAGTGTCAGAGGACATTTACTACAGCAAAGTAGCTGCCCAGATGCTGCATGGTGGAGGAAGCCGCTGGAACAGTGGAAACCGCTGGTTTGATAAAACGCTGCAGGTCAGTGCTAGAGCCCCCATACAGTGAGGGGAAACAAGTATTCACACACTTTTTTGTTATTCAATAGTCTTCCAGTCTAAATATCTAAGCATATGTCTTTTGACAACACAAATGAATAACTTTAGTACTTTGTTGCAAAGCTGGAGTTGGCAGTTGCAGCTCTGAGACGGCTACAGTAAGAGGTAACTAGCTTTTTGGAGAATTGTGGTTCAGTTTTGGCTCATCACTCTTGGCAAAGAGTCTTCAGTGGCCCAAGGATACAAGGATCCCTCCGGTGGACTCACAGTTTCAAAATCCTCCATAACTTTTCAGTGGGATTCAAGTCAGGAGACTGGCTGGGCAATGCCGAGCACTTTCACCTTCTTTTTTTAACGCCACTCTTGAGTTATTTTGGCTGTATGTTTTGGGTCATTGTCTTGTCGAAACGTCCATCTTTTTCCCAGATTCATTTTTTCGTCCAGTTAGATTTCATTATCCTCTAATATGTCCCGGTACATTACTCCTTTCATGTTTCCTTAGTTTTCACCATTTGCAGAGAAGCAGCTCCATATCATGATGCTCCCACCTTCATACTTCACTGTGGGCATGGTGTTGTAAAGGTCATGTGCCCAAACCTTCTTAAAGAATTTCGGTTCATCTGACCGAGTCTATTGTTCTGATTGGTCAGAATGCTCATGTGCAAATTTTAGATGTGCATCTCTGCTTTTTAACAGAGGTTTTGTGTGGGATGTAGAAATGGAGGTCATTGTGGTGCAGTTCATTACGTATTGCTCTGTTGTTTCAGAAGCTTTCAGGTCATCCAGTAATTCTATTAGAATGACTTCTGGCTTCTCTCTTACCTTCCCTATCAAAGTACAAAGTCAAAAGACATTATGTGTGTTCATCTGAAGTAGATGTGCCCTGGAACTACTTTAAAAAACAAACACAAAAGTGTCTGAGTACTTGTTTTCCCATTACTGTACACATAGACAAGAGCGGGCGAAATGGCGAAATATGACAATATGACATATCGTGGCTTTCAGAACAAAACCTCATATCTCCAATTTTGCCGTTTTCAAATTTTTAATATCGTTTGAAAATGCCTGTTGTCATTTACATTGTGTGTAAATTTCATAATGAATGGACCAGAAGAAACGACCCAAAATGACTAAGAAAAAAAAAAAGTCTGGTTCCATTGACTTACATTACACGTAGAGTTGTTTTTTCTTTCTTCCATAAAGTTATTATTTTGGAGATACGAGGTTTTGTTCCAACAGCAGCGATATGATTTTTTTCAGAATATGTAACACAATGGACTCTAGGCTGCCTAAGAACACAAGGTCATTTAGAGAATAGTTCCATTGAGTCTATCTGAACAATCTTCAGTCTAGCTGATCTGAGAAGTGCTCTCTATCTTCATGTTGTTTGCTCTGCCACTTTTCTGCAGTTTATAGTGGGGGAGGACGGATCGTGTGGACTGACCTATGAGCACGCCCCAGCAGAGGGACCTCCCATCGTGTACCTAGTGGACCATGTGGTGGAGTATATGTAAGGATCTGTATGTTTTCAAAACATGTCCATGTGATTAAGTTACGTTATGTGTTATGTGTACTCTGACCACAAATGAAAACGAAAGCATGCATCAAAGAGAAAAGCATAGGGGTGCTGTGGGTTTGTCAGGGATCACTGTAACCTGCAAAACAGTATGTATTACTTCAACCTTCAACAGTAAAGATTTCGGAATAACTCACTTAAATCTACAGTATCTACCATATGTTGACCATACATACATCTGCCATAAACTAATCCAGTGGAACCATTGCTGTGGCATTGTTTTGATAATTCCTCCACAAAAAGGTTAAGAATGTGCTTTAGTTACAATGACAGGCTAAATGAGAGTAGACCATATATTATTTAATAAGCATTTCTATCATTAAAATGTTGTACCTATTGCTTTCAATAGGAAGAGAACAGAGATGATACGAGCTCCCATGATCCCACTGTCCATGCCTCTGAAACTGCGCTTCAACATAACACCTGAAATCAAGAAGGACATCGAGAAAGCCAAGCAAAACATGAACATGTGAGTGCTTTTAATATGAATCTCTCTCCCTTAATGGGACTAGAAGTACAGCTTAGGGGTCACCAGCAGTAACAAAAACATGCCGTCATTTGATATGGATTATTTCTCATTCATAGCTCATTGAAAAAGCTGAGAAATTCAGTCAAAAGACTAGATCGTAAGCTTGAATGTGATGAAAAGTCTTTTGTTGTGCACATAGTTTTGTTTTGCAGAAAGAAATATGCAAAATGGAAAAAATACATAAAATATCACATTTACGAAGGTTATGGCGCATTTAATATGTTATGTTAAATTTTTTTTAACATGTTAAACTCAAATAAACCGAAGTTGTGCTCTAAAAATTGCAGAAAAATGCCAATTTATTTGTGTTTCCTGGATGTGTTCACTTATTTTCACTTAGAAAATCAACAAAATGTCATCTGACTTTGGGGAGTTCAAGCTTTTGCTTATGTCTGGACATCCTTTATATTTATGCCACATTTTTGTCCTTTAATGACAAGTTGGAAGTGCACTGTCAGTGCGTAGTCACAGTGTCACTGTTGTGTCAAAACATTTACAATTTTTGCATAATTTTGAGACTCCAGTTGCTCTTTATATTGTGTTAACATTTCATGATGAACAGACCAATAAAATGGTCCAAATTACTTGGAAAAAACTTTCATTCAAAGTTGAGAATGTTTTTTTCCTCCTCCTGTTAAGTTAGAAGATTTGGAGGTTTTGTTCTGACAGTGACAAAATTCAATTTGAATAGTATAGCAAAACGAAAGTAAGAACTCTTGACTTCTGTCAACATAAACAGGAATGCAGTGTTAGTCAGAGCTGAATTTGAAACTCTCCCTTGCTCCATTTATTTCCCAATAAATGATTCATGTGTTGTAACTGGAGTCCTGCTTTTCAGAATGGTTCATGACCTGGATGTTCGAGTGCTCAACTTCTCTCACTATGGGAGGAAATACCTGAAGTCGTATAAAACCAGTCCAGACGCCTTCATCCAAATGGCTCTGCAGCTGGCCTACTACAGGTGTGTTAGAACCCAGTGCTGTCTGCTAAAAACAATAACAATCATGACGCATCTGGAAATATCGACTAGATGGTTTATGAGCACTGGCAACATGTAACATCAGGAGGGCCTGTTCTTGCATGTCTCAAGGTTTTAACTCCCATGCATTTCAAGCTGCATACTTTCACACCCTTATGGTGCTAGAGAAAGATTTGTAGGCTCATAAAAAAGAGAATACTTCATGTGTTATTAGCCTAGTTAACAATGAATGAAAGTTAATGGGAACTAGTTGGCCACTACTAGTCATTGTGAGCATATTAATAATGAATAACGGCTAGCAGTAGCCAGTGGCCAGTTATCTCTGGCAATGACAAAATAATAGAGTAAATGTGTTTTCCTTGTTTTGTCTTCATAACTCAAGTAGAGAATTTTTTTCAAATGTGCCGATTGTAAACTTTTAATCCACACTACATTTGTGTTTGTACACTGAAGAAGAGGTATTTTATTATGATTTATATTTAATGAAAGGTATTGTTGTTTGTAGTCTTGTTTAGCATAAAGAAAAAAAACATTCTTTTCATTTTTACCTGTTTGTCTGGTTTAAAATGAAAGGGGATCTATTATGCTTTTCCAGTTTTTCCCTTTCCTTTAGTGTGTTATGCAGCTTTTTGTGCATGAAAACAGTCTGCAAACTTACAAAGCTCAAAGGTCATGCTAGATAGAGTAATTCTCTCCCACAGGAACCACTTTTCTCAGCTGCCTTAAACGCCTCATTGGAATTCCAGACCTTTTCCTTTGTTAAAAGATGGCGCAATCTTTTAGCACAGTCTTTCTTGCCAGCCTAACAGCCAGCTTGGCACATCCCTCACACAATGCCCAGCAAGTACTGGAGGCCAGAAAGAGTTTATTTAGTTTTGTAGCATGTCGAGAAGACGTTGACCTGACTTTCAGACTCTGGCTCAAACTGATACGGCAGAACCAACGCCACTGGACAAACAGTCACACTGGTGTTTACAGCTGCTCAGAAGAGAAGGGTCTGTCTGCAGACTGTAAGACAGGGGCGGAATGTATAGAGGTGGAACCACTCTGCCGGTTGAAAACTCAGAACAGAGTGGGCAAGCTGACCAGTCAGGGCACACTGAGCTCATCGGAAGGAGGGGTTTAAAGGCATCAGAGCTCTAACAGACCATTTCAGACAGAGGGTGAATAGAGATGTACAGTGTGAGAAAAATTAGTTTTTAAAACATTGAAGCATGTAAATCTGTTCTAGTAGGCCCCAAAAATAAAATTATGAACAGTGAAAATGAGCATAAAAGGTCTCCTTTGAAACAAACTGCTAATTAACTATGTAATTATGGAATAACATTAAAATAGAATGGCAAAACAACAGTAGTAACTCTAGACTTCAAAGGGGTAAGTGTTCCTTGAAGAACATCCAGACCCAGTCACTTCAACAAAACCATTTATTGCTCTTGCAGTAGTTCAAGGCCATAAGCTAATAGTTGTATTAGTCCTTTGCTAATTTGTTTTGTTCTTGTGTCAGGATGTACCAGATGTGCTGCCCAACATATGAGAGCGCTTCCCTACGCATGTTTAAGCTGGGCAGAACAGAGGCCATCCGCACAACCTCCACAGAGTCGGTGAAATTTGTACAAGCTATGGACGACCAGTCCAAACAGGTCAGGCAAAGTTATGAACAAAAGTTTCAACATACAGTAATATGCAAAAGTCAGAGGCCACCATTTATTTATTTAACTTCCAGTACAAGTTATTCTTTTTCCAGAGTTTTTCAAGAAAACCTGCAGGGATATTTTTCCACACCTCCAAAGTTCAGTCTTATAAGTCTCACAATCCAAATAATCCAAACACATTCAGTGATGTTGAGGTCTGGACTCTGGGGTGGTCAGTTCATTGTTCTGAGAACACCAGCAGCTTCTTTGTTTGTTTTGCAAATTTTCTTATTCTATTTTCCTTTATGAGTGAGGGCTTCCTGACAGCTACAAATCCTTTCACACTCCAAGTGTTGAATGTCTTGTCACAGTGGAAGGATGGACAGAATCACCTGTGGATTTTTTCAGATCTGAAGCAGGACTGGAGCTTGATCTCTCAAAGATTAGAGCTTCAAGTGCTGTTTATCTGATGGGGACAGTTTTGGTGGTCTACAAGGTCTTGCATGGTTGTTATGAGTCCCATTTTCTCTGAATCTTTTAATCATTTTTTGAACTCTAGTTTTGAAAATTCCTTTTTTTGAACACCACTGACTATTTTGAAGCATGTTCTCTGACTTTTGCACAGTACTATAAGAAAATAATGGTGATAACACCTTCACTGGGATGATGACTCCCTTAAAATCCTTGTCACATCAAACATATATACAGTTTACATAATTGTCACCTAGGGCTGAATTTGCAGGTCATTTTTATTAGCATTATGATAGAATCTGCTTGACAATGTTAATGTTCACCTCTTTTGTTGGCAGAACTCTGAGAAGCTGGCACTGTTGGAGAACGCCATCAAAGCCCATCGAACTTACACACACACGGTGGGAGTCCTACAATAAACTAGCACATATTCTTTTCATGGATGCAAATAATAAACAGATCAAGAATGACACAATCTGTCTATATTCAGGCCATCCATGGGCAGGCTATAGACAGGCATCTGCTGGGCCTGAAGATGCAGGGCATTGAGGATCTTACTTCTCTCCCTGAAATCTTCATGGATACCTCCTATGCTGTGGCCATGCATTTCAACCTCTTCACCAGCCAGGTACGTGCTTTCTTATTTCTGTAGATGAAGGTCTGAACTAGGTGTTATTTGGTTGCTCTGAAAATATGTAGAAAAGTCAGGACACAGTCAAAAAGTTTTAAAGCAATAATTCTGGTAAAAATTAATTTACACCATAGATCTCTGATATGGTGGTCAACTTGTAGTTGGTGTCATGTTTATTTTAGGAAGCTGTTCTTATCTATTATAAACAAATGGCGTTTTGGAAAATTGCATCCGGTGGAAAGACAAGAATGCTCCAAAGAAAAGAGTTCAGTTTTCCCTCTTCTGTTGCCAGATCCTCTGAAACATGAGGCTGTTAGGGAGCCAAAATATGGCTATTGCTACATGCACACTAACAAGGCTGCATGCTAAATTGACATAATGAAATGGGCAACCTCACCCAAATACCTCACACAAACCAGCAATCTTTGTCTAATGTGGCAGTTTAGAGGCAGTTTAGGCTGCAATTTGAGCAGCTGGTGTTGGCAAATACAGTGTTGTTCAGAAGCAGACTTGTTTCCATGCAACGACATTTCAGTGCTCAAGATTGTTAGCATGCTTGTAGCATGTTTGTAGTATTATTCATATTCTGAATGACTGTAATTCAGAGAATCTAGAGACACTGAGGGGGGTTACACAGGACAAAACATATTGGCTTCAGGGCATTTTAGTTGACCACAGGGCACGACAAGCTTAGACCCGGAGATCCTAAGATGCGCATTACACCAACTATAGAATGGTGCACGATTTCATAGGTCTATTTACCCCTCACCTTGAATGTTGACACATATGACAAAGCATGTTTGGAGTCTGAAGTTTGCTTCTTTAGATTTGCGCTGGCGCTACAAGGCCAACAAGAAACAGCTTATACTTCTCCAATTAACGTCTTGCAAATTGCATGCCTAAATCATTAACTTGCCTTTTACATATATAAGTAATCTCAAACAGACTTGCTTATGTGGTTTCTGACACTGTCCACCCATCAGCCATATATTAAAGCCACCTCCTTGTTTCTACACTCTGTGTCCATTTTATCAGCTCCACTTAACATATAGGTGCACTTTATAGTTCTACAATTACAGACTGTAGTCCATCTGTTTCTCTGCATACTTTGTTAGCCCTCTTTCACCCTGTTCTTCAATGGTCAGGACCACCACAGAGCAGGTATTATTTGGGTGGTGAATCATTTTCAGCACTTCAGTGACAGCAACGTGGTGGTGTGGTGGTGTGTTACCAAGTGTTTTTAGATTACAGATCACAGGCTAGCCTAATAGTCAGGATGAGTTGACAGTGACAGGGTTGACAGGAATTCCCAATGATTTGCATAACGCATGCTGTAATACATGATTTAATGCTGTGTTAGAATACTGCCTATACTACTATAAACTACATGACACATAACCTCCGCTAACGATGTGACTGAAGGCAAGTATATGATATTTAAGCATGCAGATTGCCAACTGGGTGTCATGAGCTTCCGATGCTTGTTAGCTACATTAGCCTTGTAACTCCTGCGCCAAACTAAAGAAGCCAACCTTAGGCACCAAACATGTCTTGGCTGATTGGCTATGTTCAAGGTGAGGGGAAAAACTGTGTGAATTTTGGCTATTCCTTTAAAGGACAAAAGAGTTTCTAATACTAAATGAAAACTAGTAAAGCCAAGCTTATTAAAATAAGATCCCCACCATCATTCATATATTGTTAGCCACATTAGCATCTTTTGTTGAAGAATTTACTTAACATAATGTTGTACACCAATGTCTGCACATGTCTACAAGAAACCCAAGGTGGTGTCTTTATGTCTTTGCCAGGTTGGATCGAAGACAGATTGTGTTATGTGTATTGGGCCCATGGTCCCAGACGGTTATGGGGTCTGTTACAACCCAATGGACGACCACATCAATTTCGCCGTGACGGCCTTCAACAGCTGTGAGGACACCAATGCCACCAAACTAGCTCGGTCCCTTCAGGATGCATTGCTTGACATGAAGGCTCTTCTGGAACAGACGGCCAAGCCTGCCGAGTGAGGCTTTGTACTGGTGAAAGGAACAGGCCAACAAGACCTGAGTAAAAGGCTCCCAGGCTGGATAAGAAGGCAAAGGATGCCTGACAGTGATATTTACTGTACCTGCATGGTGCCGTCTGGCACAATGTGAACGCACAACAACAACTCTCCCTTATTTCTTTGAGCAACTTGCCACTATTGAAATGTTTGTCCCACAACATTTTCAGTTTGCATCATTAGAGTTGGTGGAAAAATCACCACCATAACACTACAAAACGATTTAAGATGCTCCTTCAATACTTTTTTGTTGGTTGTTTGGTTACTTAACGTTTCTGTTTACTTTGTTTGCTGTTTTGAAGGTTTGCTGTAGACGTACGCAAAGTCTTTTGATTCCATATCACTGTTTTTCTCTGCCTATTATTTAATCTTCTTAAAAGGACTGCTGTATATCTATTACTACATATTTATTGTGATAAATATACATTTGAACACAGTACACATAAGCTTTAAGGTCTGCAAACTTGTTTTTACAAGGTGTGAAAGAAAAGAAAGATATAAACCTCTAGTTTCCACATAAATGCAAAGAAAATGTGTAATAAAAACATATTTCTTTTTTTCTTTTGGGTCTACATTTTACAGGAAGATAGTAGTGAATAAACGTGATCGTACATCTATAGTATAATCAGCTGTGTGCATAGCATATAGTAAATTGTGTGCATGCTAGTCCTGCTCTAATTTATGCTGAGCCACATTGGCATTTTTGAATGATGTACCTTTAAACAAGTTCTTAGATGGCTTTCACATGTGAGGGATACACAAACTTAGCTTCCTCCGGCTTAACATAGGAATACTCTGCTTTAAATGTTCCCTTCCTGTTCTGATATTCCCCATGGAATTCCACTTCAGCCCTGCTCCCTGAAGAGCTCCACTGGAAAAGCTGCGTCCCTTTGAAGACTGTGGTTTTTACAGCATCCACATCCCGGATCTGGGAAATCAAAAACAGACACGCTGTGGCTTTCGACAGAAAATCCAGCTTGACTGCTGGTCATCATAAACATCAGTAATACCCCTCCTGTTGTGTTATGCTAATATTTTCTTTAGTCCTCTACATTACTGTCCTACTGATAAACATTGTTAGGTATTCAATACACAAGCATGAATATGAACAATGAATGTTCAGCTTGGGAAAAAAGCAGATCTCTCACCAGAACGTATGTGGAGTCTGAGGAGGTTGTATTGAACACAGACAGGGCTCTGATGTGTATCCTCAATGCAGGGGGTGCATCAATGAACACTCGACAAGACTGAGTGTTGGAGGACGACAAATTTCTCACAGGGTTCTCGAGCAGACCAGATGGAGAGAACAGCTGGACGTCACAGTCTGGAGGATTGGAAAAATGGCACAGTGTACCTTAGCTCAACTCAACTCTGTGATTGAACTGAGACTGTCTTGACAATAAGCAAGTTACATCAGCATATCATCTACATTAAAACAACAGTGAAAACAAAAGCGAAAATGTACATGGTTTTTCTTTTACACTAAGTTGGTCAGCCAAGACAATTTTGGACTGGAGCTTTGAGGATAGTATGCAACGGTCCTTAAATACAAGTTATTTATTTATATTTATATTTATATTCCTCCACTTGCAGGAGGAAAGGGAAACGAAGGACAAATGAGTAAAAAAAAAAAAAGTTTCAAAAACTGAAATTCAAAAAACTATTAAAAGATACAGAGAAAATGGGTCTCCTAATAGCCAAGCAAAACCTGGTAGACCACCAAAAAATGTCCCCATCAGATACACAGCATTTAAAGCTTTCATATTTGAGAAATAGGAGAAAATCAAGCTCCACTCTTGCTTCACCACAGGTGTTTCTGTCCATCCTTCTGCTATGAGAAGACAACTCAGCACTATGGGTCTGAAAGGATGGGTAGCTGTCAAGGAGCCCTCACAGGGAAAATACAACCAACTTCTAAGACTGAACTTTGGAGGAGTGGAAAAGCATCCCTGCAAATTTCTGCAGGCAGGTCTCCTGAAAAGATTAGATACTGTAATAAAAGCAAAGTGTGGATACACTAAATACTGAAAAAATGATATTGAATTTAGTTGTTGGCTTCTATGTCAATAAAATAACCACTTACTGGCTATTTTGACTTGAAATTAAATAAATGAAAGGTGGTCTCTGACTTTTGCTCAGTACTGGCCTTACAGATCCATCGGAAAAAAGAACATGTCAGGGCTGATCAGAAACATTTAGGTTAGGTGAAAGTTGTGTACGTTATTTGACTGACCTTCATGATGGCTCTTCTTTGTGTTCTTCATACTCTGATAGGACAGCACCACTCCGTTACCAGGGGTGATGCGGCTCTGACGGACCAGAAGAACGTTCGAGCGAGATGCCACAAACTTCCCTGCCATCTTTTCACAGAAACGCCTCAGAGACAGCCTCTCATAAAGAGCCACATTCTCTTCTAAACACACAGACGTACACAGGTCCACTGTCAAATTCCCAAGTCCCAGCCTTGCATAGTCTAAAAGGGTAACCAGCAAATCACTCACTCTGTCTGCAGTTCAGAGAACTGGACTCGATTTTAATTTGGATGACTTCATCAAGAGGACGACCAATAGCGATGAAACATTTTCTCTCTGTGACGTTTCGTAGGTCAATGGTCTCCGAGTCCTGAAGGAAGAGTTGTCCACAGACACCTGGAGCAGAGCAACAATAAATAACTTAAATATCCTCAACTGAGAACTGACAGGTTTTGCCATTTATCTCTAGGTACATTCCATCCATCAATCCATCCCTGCATTCAGTATCATCTATAATGACATCTATGTTATTTTATATACTGCATATTCAACATATACAGATAGACCTTCAGTATATTGTTCAGCCAGATTGATTTTTACAAGGGATAGTTTGGTGGAAAGTCGTATTTACACAACTCCCAAAATGCAGTTATGTGGTTATATAGGCTTCAAGGTGGCTGCTACGAATGTCTGCAACACAGTTTTATCCATTTTTATGAATAATAGTGTCATTTAGGTTTTCAATTGTGCACACACAGCTTGCATAATTTCCAAAGAAAAGCGCTGCCAATAGTATGGGATGCTCTTGAGCAGCTGCACATAATCTTAAAGTCAACATGCCCAGTGCCAAGCGTAAGCTACAGGGGTATAAAGGCCGCCAGTACTGGGCTGTGGAGCAGTGGAACTGACCTCACTAATGTTCTTGTGGCTGAATGCAATCATATCCTCACAGCAGTATTCCAACATCTAGTGTAAAGTTTTCCCAGAAGAATAGAAGCTATTACTGTACCAAAGGGGGCACAAACTCTCTATTGTAATTCAGTCCTTGAGATGTAAACAAAGTTATTCAGAGTGGTCTGATGTGAAATGTTTTGGTGTAACCTAACTGAGATTTCATTACAGTGGTGGTGATGATGGGTACCAGGGGTCACGAAGTCTACAATGCAGTATTTTCTTTAGTCATCCTAAACCATCAGTGACCCTACACCTTTTTAATGTTGCGTTAATAATGGTAAAGTACCTCTGTTCACACATTCTTTGTGTTGTCAAGTACCTCTTGATTATGTCTTAATGATTAAATTATAAAATTCTGAAACATTAGATGGGCAGGCGTCTACAATTTTCAGACATATAGGGTATTGTTTACAACTTGTGAGATTACTTAAATGGGAATTTCGTTTTTTCAAAATTTCTACGTAATTCAGTCATTGACAAAGTCATTCAGAGTGGTTTGACGTGAAATGGTTCATTGTAGAGGAAATTACAGACTCAAAATTTCCTTACAGTAGTGGTGAAAGGAACCAGGGGTCATGGTATGTACAATGCAAATAAACCATTTCATTTATTATCTAAACCACCAGTGAACCGAAACTGTCTCCTGAGTTTTATATTTAATGTTGATGATCTTAAAAATATGATTTGGGCCAAAATCTTATGACAAAATTTTTTTAAAAAAAATGTCTCAGGCATCAGACAATGTATTTGTAACCTTTTTTTATGTATTAACTTTAAATGAGGTAATTTTTAGAGATGTTAAATGTTTCAGACGTCTGGTTCCCATTACTACCACTGTGAAGAATTCTGACTCAGTAAGTTTCTCTCTAATGGACAATTTCACATCATACCACTCTGAATAATTAGTTAGCATGTTAACAATTTAATTCAGCAAAAAAAATTGCTTAATAGAAAAATCTGTGGAATTCTGCTTTAACAGCAAGATGCAGTTTGAATCAAGTGTGTGATGGTTCAGTATGATGCTAATTGCTGGATTCTAAGCTTCCATCGCTTATTAGGTATTTTAACCTTACAATTCCAATACAAAACAAAGGAATTCAACTTTGGACAACACATCTATCTTGGTATTTGGGATTGTGTAAATCGTTCATGCTATGTATGGTGCTATTGTTTTTCCACTTAACTGCTCTGTGGAGGTTGCGTTGGCACTGCTATGGTGCTTCCTATCACTGCCACAGTAGGTAGAACCTCGGAGATCCTGCTCATCTCAGTTCCTCCAGGAGATGGAGGCTTGGTCTTTTCCAAGTCCAACTTCCAAGCTTTCGGCTTGCTGCGGTACCTTGGTGCCTGGGTGGGAGTGCTGCTCATCCCCTGGGTGGGGCTGAAGGGTGTGGAGCAGTCAGAGCTAAAGCAGGCCTGGATGGTGATGGGTTTGGGCAGATGGACGCAGAGGAGGGGGCTAATAGGTAGAGGGCTGGACGGGCCAAGGCATGAGACTGTCCGAGACTGGATCCCATAACCACAAGAGACGGAACACTATAGGAGAGAGAGAGTAGCTGAAGTGTTTGGAGATATTAAAGTTGCAGATGTTGAATTTAACAATAAACGTGACCCTATCAGTTCAATTGGACTAAAGGAATAGTTTGGCAAAACACCAAATTTCCACAATCTTTCCCTCATCTGAAATGTAGTTTCTGTGGTTTTGCACTGGGCCTATGAGGCTAATGCAGCTATCAAGTAACAAAAGCTTATAATCTGCCAGTGTGCAAACTAAGCTAGCATACCCAAATCATAACATACTTACACAAAGAAGTAATAACAAAAGTTCATGTTTAAAGATGGCTGTTACTACTGTTTTATAGATAACAGTATGTTAAACAATGTCAGCAACCATAAAACCAAGTCCTTTTGAGATGAGTTGATCACATTAGCTTCACAGTGCAAAACTAAGGGGAAAAAGGCTTTTTTCCATTAGCTGGTGAAAGCAGAAGGAAGGTAAATAGCTAACGTTGCTGCTAGGGAGCCGGACATCTCCTTGCAGCCGTATGAATTACTATTTTCAAATCATCAATACAGTGGAGAGAAAGGATTACTCAAGTGACAGAAATGACTCGTGAGATGAGGAGGACAACAGGCTCACAGCTACAGTTAGCAAGGTAGCTGGCTATCTTAACACCTTACTTCAGTCTGGCTGTGTTTCTCTAGCTAAAAGGATAAAAACTAGTGTCCATTTTGTGACAAATAAGAATAGATTTGCTGTTTTCTTTGCAATTGTCTTTGACAACCCAAGTAAGAATTGCATTAATACTAACTTGGTTGTATTTAGTAGCCTATAGTTCAGTATAGGCAAGCAATCAGGACTGGTTGAAACCACAGGGATTTCCAATGGTTGTATGACATAGGTGCCAGGAACGTTGATGGA